TAACTTGTTATTTTTCTTCCTAATTCAATGTAATACTATGTTGACCAATCCATGCTTTTCTTTCCAGCAGTGCTCTAAGGAGAAGACTCGCAAGAACTGTAACAACAAAACTTCAAGCATCCAGACTGGTGGAGTCAAGTTTCGGTCTCGCAAGAGAGTTTATGCAGAGCAAATGACTCCTAAAGTTACAAGGTCAAAGAAAAGCATTGCCCAACAAGATGCAAGTCTCACACCAAGTGATATTTGTATGCCAGCTACATCACAAGCTAACGCTGGAGATCTCGATGGCAACTTAGATGACCACACACAGGCTGCTGTTGAAGGCCAGTTCTACTGCCACATTTCTTAGTTACATTCCATTAACATGAGTCAGCTATAAAAATGTTTAACTTGCTGATCTAAGTTTATTGCTTGTTTACCTTTTGAAAATATTAACTTGAGTTTTAAGAATAAAAAAAATTAATGAAACCAATTTTCACATTTTTACTTGACAACACTCACATGACCACCGGGTCTGATGCTATCGACCAACATAATCAGCACAACCATATGGACAATGGAGGTGATGAATTCTTACTGTCGTTATGTAAGTTTTGTTTGTATGATGAATGCTTTTCTTACTTGCTGCCCTTTTTTAGATGGCTTCACCCAGCATGATGACAACACCCTTGTGGCTGATGTAGTTGATGGCATTACTCAACACAGTGACCACAACCAGATTACCAATGAAGGTGAGTTTGTTCATCTATTTTCCATATTTCATATTGTCTCAGTTGATCAATATTTGTATGCAAAGCTTTCAATTCATGATCATCTTGGATCAATGTTTGCTTCACCTCAATAATTTTAGTTTTAATTTCAACTGCAATGTACATTTACAACTAGGGGGAGTGGAGAGAAGGGACCGGAGAAATAATATGGGACGTGGTCTCCAAAGGTTAAACTGAGCGTGCCGTGGCAAGCTGCAAGTTGTCATAACTGAAGGGAATATAAGGCCAGTGGTTCCTCTTGTTGCTGCAAAGTTTGCAACTGAATGCAACATCATAGTTAGGAACCATGTGCCTATACTCCCGCATTGGAAGCTATACAAGGAAAAACCTGCATCTGCGTACGTTAATCTGTTCTTAGGAAAACTAAAGGTACATGCATTCTCTGGTCCTTTCCACATTTAGTCTCAATAGAAGATCCATTGTTTGTTATTTTAAGCCATAAATTACTGAATTGATATTCTTTTCTATAAATGTTCTTCCATTCGATTAGGCCAAGTTTGACATAAACATAGAGGATGATACAGTTAAAATGGCTTGTACTGAGATGATGAAGTCCGCAGTTCGCCAACAAAGATACAGGCTGAAGCAAAAATATTTTGATCCTTTTCCACTACATTTGGTTACAAAAACTTCTCCTGTCAAATTCATGAGTAATGAACAGTGGACTCAACTCCTAGAATCATGGAAGAGTCTCCAAAAGATGGTATGTTCTCTCTGCAAAACCAGATTGATGCCTTGTGCATGCTAATCTATCACCAACCTTACATGTATTGTTGTCTTTAATGTAGGAGATGTGTCAAAAGAACAAAGAAAACCGAGGGAATGTTAAGTACCATCACACAACCGGATCTCGTGCCTACATGGTTCATGTTGAAAATTTGGTAAGTGGGCCATTTTAAGCACCATATAATTTTTTGTATGAACAAGCTACTGCTTAAATACGTCTGCCTCAGCCTAAACAAGATGATGTCCATGCTCATGTTGTTATGTTCATGAGAGTCCATTAGTTTGTGGAATGTTCAAGGACACTATATCTGATCCGATGCCAATACATTATGTGAAAGGTGACGAGTTAGGTTTCCATCTATGTCTAAGTTGAGTGTGTTAATAGATTAAAAGTTATTGTTTTTATGTCTGTGTATGCAGTGAAAGACCTCTGTTGCAGTTGTTTGTCTAAGTGGAAAACATAGTGTGACTGTGTGCAACAAATGAGGCTAGAAATTAGTTGAACATGTTCTTTTAGATTCTCAATTGAACAGTAGCTGCCCAGATTTTCGTAACATCTTAATTCATGCTGGACCTAATGCATATATGTTGTTCTCAGGATGACAAATACAATGATGAAGAACCTAATGCATTTGATTTGTTCAAGGAGTTCCACTACAGCAAGAAAAAAAAAATGCTACACCCCTGTTGTACAGGAGGCTATTGTAAGATAATTTTCAGACTTTGATCTTTGTAGTGCTTATTTTTAATTCTCTCAACATCAACCATGTTTGCTACTTTCTTGCTAGACTCGGATGGAAAACAAGCTATCTACAACAACAGAAGGTGAAGAACTTAAGTCAGCGGCTCAAGTTGTTGCTGATGTGCTTGCTGAGAACACCAAGAAGAATCGGTTCTTGAAGAATGTGGGGTTCCATAATGCCCAGCCTAGATTCAGTGAGCAGAGCACTGAGACAGAACTAGAAGCGGAGAAAAGGACCAATGCTGAGCTTCGTGCACAGGTGGCTGATTTGTCAAACAAAGTGCAAGAATCTGAGCAGGCAAGGATTAAAGACCGAGAGGAGATGAAGAGGAGTCAATCTGAGATGGAAGCAAAACTTAATCTTTTGCTCAGTCAAATTCGACCAAGTTAAGACATGCATGGTGCATATCTTTTGCCTCTAACTACATGCATTTTGCTGCTGCTAACTTGTGTCAAGTCAATTTCGACCAAGTTAAGTCATACATGGTGGTATATATTTTGTTGCTGCTACTTGCATTTTGCTGCTACTGCATGCTGCATGAATCAAGCTGCTGGACTTGTATGCATTTCCTGAGTCTGTGTTATTGGCTGTGTGCACTTTTGTATGGTAACTGTTGTTGGATGAAGACTTGTGTAATGTGATGCTGGATGAAAATTCATGTGATATGTTGTTGGATGGAAACATAAGATTTTTTTTATTTAATGTGCTGCTACATTAATTCCTTGTGGGCTGTGTATGTGGGCTGAATGTTTGATAATGGGCTGTGTATATGGGCTATATGTGCTGCAGTAGTGGGCTGAAGAGTGGGCTAAAAATTAGTGACGAATTTGGGCTGCAGTATGCTGAAATGGGCTTGCAAAAAAGGCTGAAAAATTGCTGCGAAAATGGCTGAAATTGGGCCAAAATTAGCCCATCTTTGATTCTGGCCTGTTAACAAATGGGCTGAGGTAGTGTCCATGTCATCATCCATGTAAGCAACCATGCAAGCATCTATGATGATGTGGCAATTCATCCGTGACGGTTATTTTTCGTCACAGGAAATGGGCTTGGGCTGGACTAACTAGGTCTTGGGCAATATCGTGACGGTTTAAAACCGTCACCGATTCTGGTACTCTGTGATGGTTTTCGACAAATCGTCACGCATGTCAATCCATGACGCTCAATCCGTGATGATTTCTTAAACCATCACAGATGTTGTTTGGTGATGGTTTTCTAGTGATCCGTGACAGATATTTTTCATCACGGATTAACAGGATTCTTGTAGTGAGTATTGCATCTGTTCATCACTTAGGTCTAGGGTTTATCACTCAAGTGTGTGAGTTGTACGTCAGTTTTGGGTCCAGTTTTTCATCTCGTCGGTTGTTGCCAGGACCTTGAAAAATTGAATCGTCTCGTTGTCAGGTTTTCGTTTTTGTGATTTAGAGAAATTTTTATCCAACGGTTTTGGAGTTGCTCGATTTCTAGAACTCCTGCCGTACTGTGCGCGTGAGGGGAGTAATGTGCACCTGAGGAGACTCCGGATCACGTCAGATCTATCCGTGACTGTCCGTATTTTTCTCTATCTAGAATTGTTAAGTAGCGGATTTGAGATATTTTTATAAAAACGAAACCTACATGATGTGAGCATTCCATTTTTGAGGTGATCTAATTTTAGTTTTGCACTTTGCATTTGAATCCCTGTAATATTCATATTTACATTTGAGTCCCTGTTCAAGGTCAGTGGTTAGTTCTTGTTGAAAAAAATAGTAAAAAAAAAGAAAAGGTCGAAAGGTGCAAAGAAAAAGAAAGAAAAAGACGCACCAAGAAAAAAGAAAAAAAGCAGAAAAGTGCTTAAAAAAAGCTGCACCAAGAAAGAAAAAGAGAAAAAAAAACATCATTCATCCTTTAAGTATGTTTTGAAAGTGCAGAGTTGTGCATTGATTCATATCTAGTCCTTTGTGTTGTCAGGTACTTTCTTGAGCTAGAGTTGAGTCTAGAATAGGCCAGCACATTGACTAGTACTTTGAACTATTATTCAACTTTGCATTTTCTGATTAGCACAATTGCGTCCCTTTGCTACTATATATTGTGCCTCCCAAGCTCCACATGTATACTTCTGGTCAGCACCGCTTTAATCATTGCAATCACCACATCACGTCCTTCAAGGTGTCACGAACTAGCCACCGGTTGTACCGTCCTTAGCATTGCTGGTAAGACACTTGTAAGAGCTTGGTAAGGTGCTCCATTTGCTTGAGTTGTTGAGAGGCATCACTACACCGCGTGGCAGATTATTAGGGATAACCTTTACTGTTTGTTGTTGTTTTTGTGTTTGCAATGATAGGTATGAGTGGCGCTGCCAACAAGGTATCAATAATTGCGTGCCCGATGATCCTTATGCTAAGGTTAAGTTTAAAATACCATCTTTTTCGGGTTATTATGATGCTGAGAAATATTTTGAATGGGAGATGATAGTAGAGCAAAAATTTAGTAGCCACCTTGTGCCTGAGCAACATCGAGTTCGTCAAGTTACTAGTGAGTTTAAAGATTCTGCTTATATTTGGTTGGCTGGGTTAGTTGCTTATATTTGGTTGGCTGGGTTAGTTGCAGAGGGAGCTTTACCTACTAATTAGGAAGAACTTAAGGTAGCTGTGCGCGATAGATTTGTTCCACCATCTTATCTTAGAGAATTAAGCAAGAAACTGATGCGTTTAGAACAAGGGAATAAATCTGTACAGGATTACTATGGTGAGCTACAAAAGGGATTGACGCGATGTAGCAATGGTGGAGGGAACCGAAGATTCTATTTGTCATTTTTACTCGGAATTGAGGTGCGAAATTCAGGACATAGTTGATAATAAGGAATTTAAAACTGTCAACCAGTTGTTTCAGTTTGCTATGCTTGCAGAGAAGTAATTGCAGGGGGTGATCAACAGGTTAAGAACAAGGCGAGCACACACACGCCGCGGGCGAAGCCATCTTAGAGGCTACCCGAGCCTATCTCTTTCTGGGCGCCTCCACCAACGAGCAAGCGACCAGTTGCGTCCGGAGTTTTTACAGCGCCAAAACCACCTCCCCCACGACTTGCAAATTCAGGTAAAGGTTCTTCGCAGGTATCCACCAAGAGTGCCTCATCTGTCGCTTCGACGGGACGCACGCCCAGGATTCAAGCATGCATTCTTCCTGCATGAGGTAGGTGAGTCACTAGTCAAAATCTCCCCAAAATAAACCCAACCATGTCTTCCCTTCACACCATGCCATTGCTCCCAGAAACAAGCATAGGGGACAGCCATGGCGCAGTAGCCTCAGCCACAACAGCAATAGCAGCAAGCAATTCATCTGGAAAACCACCTCAAAAGAGAGAAATAGCAGAGCAGTAGCTAGTAATCCGGCACCACAGTTACACCATATCTCAATAGCAGCAGCCATAGAAAAACAACCAGGGTGAGTGAGTAGAAGGAAAAGAAAGGGGATGCATGTGTTTCAAGAAGAGCAAGGGGTTTCAATTTAAGGAGGAGAAACAAGTAGCAGAATCCAGAAGAGCAGCAGTAAACAAGAGGAGGAGAGCAACACCCTGACCAATTCCAGAAGAAGCTGTAGAACCAGAGAGTCACATGATCATCAGTCTTCCACAGCCACAGTAGGACCATCAAACAAGGTAATCTGGAAAAAAAATTAGAATGCGAGGGAAATCACATCATGGCATGATTCTTGGTTGATGCATATATTAGTATGTTTAGGAGTTGTGTGCATGCAATTAGTTATATCCACTAAACCTGAAAAAAATGAACTTAGTAGATGGCAGCCGTGTTGATATGTGCATATACTGGTACTAGGTGGCGTTATATTACTGAATATGCATCCTTAGTTCAATAAGCAAGACATAGTTTTTATGAGTAGTTGGACAGGATAGTATCGTCTTAAATTTAGTGGATTCTCAGAAGTATAATTCAAGTACAGATCAGTCATCTCATTTCATAATTAGCAACAATAATTATCCCAGATAAGTTATAAGTGCATTTTAGTTAAGGGTTTATATATGTGCATAGTTCTTGAAATCAGGATTCAGGATAGACCCTATAGTATGAACCTTGATTACATAAATAATTAGAACTAGTTATAACTTGACTGAATTTAACCTTAAGAATATAGTAGAAGTTCAGGAGGCACTGGTATTTCAGAATAAAATATAGAAGATCATGTAGCAGCAGGTTTTAGTAAAAATAATAATATTGAGCAATTAAGGATACCAAACAGAAAACCATATAGGTTTTTGCAGTAAATAATCTAGGGAGGATGTTAGAGCATAGTATTTGAATCATGTGTGTATATATATTTAGTTGACCAATAGTTTAATTCCTGTCCTCATCAACCATTGTAATAAAGCAATTTATAAATTGAGTTATTAATCACTAAAGCATATTGAGACGATAAACAGCACATAAGAGGTAGTAGTAGTAGATCATATATAGGAATAAATTACCATCTATTTGGAGTCATGATAATGTTTCATCAGATTTCACCATGATTATCAATGGAATTTAATAAAGGATAAACCAATGCATGCATGTACTCCCTCCGTCCCATAATATAAGGGATTTTGAGTTTTTGCTTGCGATGTTTGATCACTCGTTTTATTCAAAATTTTTTAAAATTATTAATTATTTTATTTGTGACTTACTTTATTATCTACAGTACTTTAAGCACAACTTTTCGTTTTTTATATTTGCAAAAAAAATTTGAATAAGACGAGTGGTCAAACGTTACAAGCAAAAACTGAAAATCCCTTATATTATGGGACAGAGGGAGTAGTTATTAACTGAAAGCAATACTGAACCGCTAGACCTTATGGGTAAGTATGTGCATAAGTATAACTTCAATTCTTCAGTTTAAGTGCAAATTTAGTAGTAGCTCATGAAATTATTTGAAAGCTGTATGATATCCATAGAGACCTGATCATGTTAGTATTTTAACCATTTCAGTATTTCAGTTATATATGTTTATATGCAAGCATATATAAGGACATAATCAAATTAGTGTGATTTTAATTTCAGTAATAAAATTCATAGGTCTATTCATGTTAGCATTCATTCATCATGAACATACAGGCATCATCCATGTTAGCAATCCAATTTCTCTAGAACTCTAGATCTAGTAAATACAACCCTGAGTATAACATCATCAAGTGAATCATTAGGACGACAAATTCACAAACATCACCAGTACATCACAGTTTACATAACAACACCATACAAGAGAGGGCACCACACTAGTATATCACAAATAGGAATCAGATATGGGAGGATGGAATAGGTTGCTCACCTATGGGGGAAAGGGATGCAGCCACCGGAGTTGCGTGCGCTGTGTTTCCACCGGCCATCTCCACGGCGGCTGCAGCAGCAAGAGACCGGTGGCTGGGATTAGCTTAGGGGCAGAGAAGCGAGGAGCCAAGAAACCGATTCAGGCCGGCGACGGTTGCGGGGCGGCGGCTAGAAGGGTCGCCGGAGTGGGGCGTGGCAGCAGGCGCAGGGGAGAGCGACGGCACTGCCTGGGAAGCAGCGGCGCTGGGTGGAGCGTGAGGGAGAGGAAGAGAACGAGAAAAAAAAAAGAAGAGGAAGAAGGTGGGTTATGTTTTGTTGGGCTTTTGCTTACGGGCTGCATATGGGCGGAAATTAAAGAAATTGAGTAGTAGAACTTGGAATACAAAGGAAACCATTATAGAATACTTAAATTAGTTTAAAATCTTCGAAATAAATTCTTGTGTATCTTGATATATTATTGCAGTCACTGTTTATTCATTTTATCATATTGGTAACTTAGTTTATGGAGCCTCAATTTAAGTACATACAAATACAACTTTTAGTTTACATTTAAAACTAGATCTTTTAGTTCACATTTAAAGTTTGTTATACAAATCACAATTTTTACCAATTAAATCATACAAATATATTTAACCATATTCTACACAATAAGCTATCTAGATGGGTCATGGAGTGAGAATCAATAACCATTATTATCATAGACCAAGCATATTAGGTTTAAACATCTCATATGCATCACATTAGCATTGATGTTCTTGTAATTAGCTTAATTTTGTTACACTATTTCAGTTGGGCATTTATCTCGGATTTCTTGGAGTTTCTCTATTGATTTATTCGTTCTTCGATTGTGGGTATCTCAGGCAAGTCCAACACCTTTGACCAACTCTTGTTATATTTTCGTAATTGCAATTTATATGTATCACATTGCATTAAATTATACTTTCTATGATTAAAATAAATATGCTGATGGATTGGATTGACTGGTGGAGCAGTCGGTCATACTACAGATGTATTCTGAGCTTGCCATGGTGGTGGGGGTTCAGTTGCATATATTTATCATCATAAGGTTAAATAACAACTGTTATATGGCATTCAAGCGCCATAGCGATCGTGTCGACCATATGACCTGGAATGGGACAGGCTGGCTTAATAGTTCTTTCTTAATTGATGTGCTCGAGGGTGTCCCGATCTTTCGATAAAAGGGATAAGTCGATTGGATGGAGTGACGTTGGCGATCCGACTATAACTATCCAGGGATGTTGCACCTTAGCAATCGTTACACCAACTCTAGAGGCGGTCGTGAATCTCGACAGATGCACGATCAGCCCAACCACGAGGGTATTTGTTCCTGCAAGCAATCGAGAACCAGCAAGAACAAGATGAACAAGCAACTAAATTTCCAAATCAAAGATGTTGGATTGAATCAACAGAAGTAACAAGTGGGGTTCAGTAACAAGCAATCCGGCGATCCAATCGATCACGGGATCAACTCGGCAAAGTAGCGACGCTATACTTTGATCTAAACAAAACCCGATTTCTTGGCGGCGGAGAAAGCTATAAGAAGAGGAAGAGGACGACCACAGGGGTGCTGGGGTCATTCTCTATCCCTAGGACGCGTCCCTAATAGACCCAACTTGATACACGGCCCATTGGGCCAAAGAGGTGGCGCAGCATCGTGCACAGAAAAGGACTCGGTAGTAAAACGAAGATTGCAGATACTCCAGAACCGATATGGACATGAGGCTGGATCCATTTGAATGTAGACTTGACAAGCTTTCCATGAAGTACTTGCACGCCCAAATCATAGTTCTCATGGAGTCGTGGCGGCTGTCAGAAGTTGGTGCTGTGCTGCAGTCCAAATCCATCCCACGCTAATCCTCTCCCCATTTGATCCTCTCCATTGTTCCTGAGTAAAACAAGAGTGCACGTGTCTCCAGGGTATAAATAAGAATCATATGAATTCAAGAATGAACGCACCTGATAGTTGAGTTGACGTGCATGAGCGCGAGTAATAGGACCATGAAGTTGTATTTGTGGAGGCGTGGATGTATCGTTGGTGTTGATGTCCTCATCATTAATGGCTTTATCCTGCGGGCTTAAGGACTTCCAGGAATCCCGTGAGCATAGGCTAGCGATGAGGGTTGCCGTTGTTGCGGAATCCGATTAGATAATGTGGATCGCCGTTATTGCGGGATCCGATGATTTGCCGTTGTTGCGGGAATCACCCGCAGAGATAATTGTCAGATGGGATTGATGAAAAGCTTGTGACCTTAGCCTTGCCGGCATACACCATGAAGTGTGCTTAGGCGCTGGCGTAGTGGCGGTGTAACGCGGGTGTTAAAAAGGTTTAAGGCGTCTATGGGTACAACAACACACGTCTGCAGAGTGTATGAATAGTGATATGTCACTCTCTGTTTCGGGTAGAAACTGCGAACGCGACAGGAAAGGAACCTATCGGAGGTTCTAATACCTGTGGTGCCTTATATGCAGTAGATTTTTTTTAAATTACTTAATATGAACTTTTACTACACTATTTTATGAGCATGCATAAAATTCCTTGTTGGATTATGGGATTTGGAGATATATTATTCCTTGTAGTGTTGAGCTAACAATTAGGTGAAGAGAAGATTCTACAAAATTGATCAAGTGTTGCATATCTCTACATCAACTTAATGTTGAAGGTGATGAAGATCTAGAAGAGCAAGGTACTGTTAGTGTTATTATTTTGGTAAAAAAAAAATTCTTATGGTTTTTATTTAATGGGTTTCGCTACAATTGTTTCTGCTATGCTACTCTGGTGTGCCCATTTCTTGTTAAGTTGGTTTTTACTAAGGAATGAGCCGTAGACCGGTATTCTACCTCGGAAGTGGAATAAGAGGGTCGCTTCAGCAAGCGAGGGTATGCGGCTGCCGATACTTCGCCAGTTTTCGCCGCCACAATCGTCCATCCCAGCAGGGCAAGGGGAGGAGGACAATGGAGGGGAGGGGAGGGGAGGAAAGGAGACGAGTTGATGTGGGAGAGGAGAAGAACGACGCCATGGGGGAGAGATAGGCAACTGATTAGATCGTGGGATGGAGGGCTGAGAGAACTTAAGGAAACGTATCTAGATGAATCAATTTGATGGGCCCCACATGGCTAGAAATACAATTTTTGTGGGACAGGGCCCTGGAGCTAGAAATGCAATTTTTTTGGGACAGAGGGAGTAGCCAATACCCCCTTACGATGCCCTCCTGGTGTTTCGAGAGACCATCCCTGGTTGCCGAGTTCCTTACGACAATCCGTTATGGCCATCCAACCGGGGCTAAATACAGAGGAGTATCCTCCCAAGGAAAGTAACTTAGGACTATATACTAACGTGGAGGAATACCCATGCTAAGCTGTTACCATCAGCGGCCCACCTCTACTATCCCGCAGCATAGAACCCCAAATAATGATATTCAATAGTCTAAGCACCTCGCTTATGCTACCAAATACTACTCTACTATCATCATCATGACATAGAGCAATCATATAAATGAACATTATACCCATACCATTGCATCTCCGAGTAAGCTAGCTAGACAATTATATCTCGAATAATATATCGAAAAGCTGGTACTCGAATGATCAGAATGAAGTAAAGTACCGTAAATATATTGAGAAGAATATTCTATAAATATTACAAGTCTTACGAAAGAAGAAAAAGCTACTAGAGCCATACCCGAACTCTTCCGAAGACTCGATTCTATTTCTATTCCACTATACTCTAGAGACTATAGTAAACTTGAGAGAATATGAGAAGCTCTTGCTTGAGTGTGTGATGGAGTGGAGGATGAGAGAGCTTTATATAGCCTCCCAGTGATGGTTGTTGTGGTTGGAATGGTCAGAAATGCCCTTCAACCGTCATTGGGGAGTGTTCCAAGCCATCCAGAAGAAACCCTGCATCCAACGGCGCTTGGGAGGGTTCGGCTGAACCATGGGCTGGGCTTTTCTGGCCCATTTTCGGCAGGTGGCCTCCTCTTTTGTTCCTTTCTGCAGACTTATGAATTTTGGGCTATTTTGGTCGTGTCAATTTGGTGTTCTCAACCCACTTGTCCGCAAGTCTGATTCTCGACAGCATCTGATTGATCGATTGTATGTTCTGCTGCCGATTCTCCTCTATTTTGTATTTATTCTCTGCAAGAGGTTAGAATCCTAGTGCTAGTGGAATATAACTTATTCTAACATAAATATGCATTTCAAGCATAACTAGTTTTCCTTTATTTTAGTAGTATTGGCGGGTGAAACTGATCGATAACGACTGTCAACACCAATCCGGTACACTCGGTCAATCGTAGGATAGGAGGTATGTCTTATCTGTAACCTTGACAGGTGTCTATGTCATTGACACGTTGGCCCAATGAACCATGGGCCCACCTGTCAGTGACAAAGGTACGGTGCCTTTAAAGGCAGAGTATCTCAATTTGTTGCCAATTGGCTAGACCGGTGCTCCTTGCATTCAACTCTGAACATTATTCGTTCCAAAAAGCATGCTGCTAACATGCATGAGTATTATGACTGGGTGATACTCCCTTCCTCCCAAAATAAGTGTAGCTATATAGTTCAAATTTAAATTACAAAGCTGTATTTATTTTGGGATGGAGGGAGTATCAATTAATGTCCCATACTCCAATTAGAACCAGTCAAACCAATGCAATAATGTTAACAGATCGAATGTTGTGATGCGGCCACTATGCTGTTCGGTGCTAGCCTACGGCCCCATTAGGTAGTGTTCTGTGAAGTGCAGCTCAACCCTGAGAATATTGTCAATTACTTATAAAAGGTCACTAATTGTGGGTGTTGAGGAGTCTCCCATATCAACATGGTTGCTCTTCACCGCATGACAATTCTGATCTCCTCTTGAGCGATCGACCTATGGTGAATACAACAGAGATATGGACATGTAAATATATAACATGGCAGTGCCATGCATAGAACAGGCAGTAATCAGTACAATCAAGTAGCTCCAACTGATAGGTAAGTGTGGCATAACATCAAACACAGAAGAAAGTACTAATTAAGCTACAAGATCTCTTATTACACTCACAAGTACTGTGCACTTGCGCGCGTGCACACACACATACACCAGAAACAACATACATAGATTAGCTTACTGGGTTGCTTCTTTCACGGATGGCACTGGCACCCATATAATGCTTCCTCTACCGAAGAAGTGGCAGGCAGTGGTCTCTCCTGGCTTCACATCCATAAAATGGAAGAATGGGTGGCCAGTGTCCCAGTCCGACGTGTTTTGGTGGCACACAGCCAATAATCCATCAATGAGCGGTCGACCAGATTCACCGCTGACCAGTGACACCTGATATAACCTGGTTTGCTTGGGCGTGTGACAGAAGAACACCTTGTAGGGGTATAGCATGTCATGGCAAGCTAGCATACTCTGGGAGTTGGGCACCGGTGTAGCAGAGGCCACGATGTACCTTAGCGACGGCACACCTTCCATTGGAGCTCCAGGGGTCAAGGCCCGGACAAGCTTTGTGCCTAGCGAGGACACAACGACATCAAGCAATGACTCGATCGACGTAGCGCATTTAGCCTTCTCGCCATGGACCATTCCTGTGTGCTCACAGGCCTGCAATGTCGCTGCAATGCCATCGGCCATGGTGGCTGACACAGGCGAAAACATGGTGAGGATGTCAGTGATGTTCTTCATGGAGAATGGGATGTGCTTTGAATTGTTCCGGTGTAGAAAAATGGAGCTTTGTCTCGCGGACAGAATACGAGTGATGAGAACTGATCCAGGTGCTAGATTGTCCTCGAAGAAGTACAAATCTTTTGCTCCTTCCGGAAAATGAACATGACCATGTCCGTGGCTGTGAATATACTTATGCTCCTCTCCTAAGCAATTTGTGTTGAGGTAAAAATTAGTTAATTATAATGAAGTCAACAATAGCTGGTATAAAATTTAGATTGCTATAACCCATTGCCTTCGTACAACAACAATAACCACTACCAAACTTTAGAGTTATCCTGAGGTTGGTTATATTTTATATTGGTCTAGCAAGCGAACTACAGAAAAATGTATTTTTTATGGGTTTACTTAAAATAAAAAAAAATCATGGATGGGCCATAAATCTATCATATAAAACTCCCAAAGCCAAGCTCTAAACCCTAATTTCCCCTCCCTCTCACATCCACCCACGAAAATACTTTTTTGACAGTCAAATTTATTTTCCTAACCTTTTTGCACCCACTGTTAGCTCTCAAGTTTGGTAGTGAACATATAAGTTTGTTATTAATGTGTAAACTACCAGGATTATGAATATACATACTCACCTATCTTATGGTCATCCTCACCGTTGGTTTGGTCTTTGTTGTACAAGTAAAACTCCCCCTTTTTTCATCATTCCAATCATTGGCTTGGTCTTTGTTATACAAGTAAAACCTGTCCATCCTACACCTGTCCATCCTACGGTCAACCTCATCGTTGGCCTGACCTTTCTTGTATAAATAAAATTTTTCCATATTTTGGTCATCCCTATAATTGGCCTTGCCTTCATGATACAAGTAAAACTTCTCTATCTTTTGGTCATCCCAATCATTGGCTTGGTCTTTATTGTATAAGTAATTTTTTTCCATCTTTTGGTCATCCCCGTCTTTAGCTTGGCCTTTGTTATACAAGTAAAACTTTTCCATTGTTTGATCATCCTCTTCATTGGCATGGCCTTTGTTATACAAGTAAAACTTTTCCATTGTTTGATCATCTCCTTCATTGGCATGGCCTTTGTTATACAAGTAAAACCTCTCCATCTTTTGGTCATCCCAATCATTGGCCTGGTCTTTATTGTACAAGTAAAATTTTCCCATCTTTTGGTCATCCCCGTCTTTAGCCTGGTCTTTGTTAAACAAGTAAAACTTTTCCATCGTTTGATCATCTCCATTGGCATGGCCTTCGTTATACAAGTAAATGTTTTTCCTCTTTTGGTCATCTCTATCGTTGGTCTTGCCTTCATGGTACAAGTAAAACTTTTCCATCTTTTGGTCATCCCAATCATTGGCCTGGTCTTTATTGTACAAGTAAAATTTTTCCATCATTTGGTCATCTCTGTCTTTAGCCTAGTCTTTGCCATACAAGTAAAACTTTTCCATAGTCTGATCATCCCCTTCATTGGCATGGCCTTTGTTATACAAGTAAAACTTTTCCATTTTTTGGTCAATTCCATTAATTGTATGCCCTTTGTTGTACAAGTAAAGCTTCATCTTTCGATCATGCCCATAGTTGGCGTTACCTTTGTTGTACAAGTAAAACTTCCTCATCCTTTGGTCAGCATAGTTGTTGGTCTGGGCTTTGTTGTACACGTAAAACTTTCCCATATTTTGGTCATCCTTGTCGTTGGGTTGGCCTATGTTGTACAAGAAAAACTAATTCATGAACAGATCCTTTTATGAGCAAATTAAATCTTGACAGGGAAAATAAATTGTAGTAAAAGGATTAATACTTACCTTGAGCAAATGCATTCAAAGAAAAAAAAGGTTTCGCAATAGCGGTGTGTTGTGCTGTTATTAAGACTATGATTATCTAAAATTTCAAATACGGTTGATATAACTGAAGCACAACCAAAATATGGTATTTTTGGATGGAATCTTTCGTGTCAGCCTATAGGCTTTCCAATTCTTCAAATTTCTTCTTTGGTTAAATGTGAAAGATTAATGAGAGGGGAAATTAATTGTAGGTTACCAAACTAAATATTCCATATCAAATATGGCTTCTTTTTTTTCTTGTTTCTTACTTATCCTTAATCATTTTCTCTTTATTTGTGACATTATTTGTGACAGTTGTTCAATACTTATGTGGGTGGAATTTCTTAGAGGGCGCTTACATCTAGGTTCGAAGATTATCATAAGGGAGATTTTTTTTCCACCCATTGCAATTATGTTTTCTCTTCCAACTCTCTTTTACCATCCTTTCGGTACGTAGTGTGCATTTCTGTTTTCCCATGGCCATTAACTTTGATGCAAAAAAATCCATTATATTTATACCCTTGTAATGCTTGAAAATGTTCTAACATAGAATAGCACTTGAAATTAAAAAAAACAGTAACAAAATACCAATAAAACCAAATACTAGCCACTAAAAGATATTGTTATAAAACTATAAAACTGGAAATTCTATTATTATTATTGCTTTTTAAAAATGAACAATAGAATCATTTGGTTCTTAAATGTTTTGCAAAATAGGTTATACAGGGGAATTTTATTCATTTACTTTCAGAAGTTTCATAGCTATGCAATACTTACGTGGATATGCAAATTATTTTTGATTTAAATATTTTATTTTAATGTTGCGCATAAAACCATTCTCACTAACTCAAAATTTTTAACCATAAATTTGTATACAACCTTCAAAAACATAAAATATATAAAACTTCTAACCACCGATTTTGGAATTTCTAACAATCTTTAGTCCCATAAAGGTATAATGGTCTTTTTGGGAGCTAAGCTTTTGGTCAACTGACGTCAACCAATGATATTATAGGTAAAAGATAAATTAAAGGAGTGCTAACAGAGTAGTGGTAAATGAGATCAGCACAAAATTTTGATGGCGAAAAATAGAATACTGTTGCAGCGAGAGCTAAATTAAAATTTTTCTATATAAATAACGATCTAATTAATGGTAGCCTTTGAGACAAGAAGAAATATTTATATCTTGGAGCGGCCCCAACATGTCAAGAACTGCTTGGGACATTGGAGTGTTGGGGAGGGTTGCCTCCCAGTATGCCTTCACCTCCGCTGGATTTGCGATTGCTCCTTCCAACGACGAACCCGTAGTACGACCATCTTCTCCAGCCACCACGGCTACCTGAATCTGAATATTCTTAAATGTTAATACTCTTTCTACTGCATGAGTGAGTGGTCACGTCATTTATTAGCAGTAATATTCCTGCATAGCATCATCTCGAACTATATAGTTAGTTCTTGTATTGTGTTAATTAACTACTTGGAGTTTGTTTATACGTATGGATATGTCAAGCTATATATATATATATATATATATATATATATATATATATATATATATATATATGTATGTATATACATATAAATAAAGAAAGAAAGAAAGTGCAGCCACCGGCCAGTTCAGCCGCTGCCGCCTCCCCCCATCCCCTCCTTCCCGGCCGCCGCCGCGCCGGCCGCCGGCCGGCCCGCCCTCCTCCTCCTCCTGCGCTCGCTCAGCTACACGAGATAATTAAGGATGTGAAGGAAGGAAAGAGCTTAAGGCTAAGAGGAAGGAAAGAGATAAGGATAAGAGAGAAAAAGAGAGAGGAGTTTGTGTGGACGAGAGAAGAGGATAAGTACTAGGGGATTATATAGTGTGTTTTGATCTTTAGTCCCTGTTAGTAACACCAACCGGGACTAAAGTTCGAATCTTTAGTCCCGGTTTATATTATCAACCAGGAGTAAAGATCCCGGAGGGCCTTGACAGCCCCTAACAGCAGGTGAACCGTGTGAACCGGGACCAAAGATCCCGGTTAGTGTTACCAACCGGGACTAAAGATCATATAGTCCCGTTCTGCTTATAAACCGGAACTAAAAACCATCTTTAGTCCCAGTTTTTATTGTAACCGGGACTATTGTGGTTTTTGACCGACCGGATAAAGATGGTAGTAGTGTATTCTTTCCTACTGTATATATCCAAGTGAGTGAATTTAAGACTCACCAGAAGGAACAAGATTAGTGGCAGGGGGCCACCGGTTGCTTTCATTTTCGCTAACAGCAAGCTCTAGATAGGTAGTCTTCTTCTATCTTGTTGCTTTTGTTCTCGGTTTGGCCAGCGCTGGGAGTATTTATAGAGGATTACCCCAGGGAGGCAGGCAAGCATGGTGGTCGCGGTGCGCATACAGATGCACGAGAATACGACAGCAGTGACCATCAAGCACATTCATTATCTTTTATCTTTAGCGAATGATTGCGGAGAAAGAGCTAATTAATCTCAGCTAGTAAGGCTACTTGTGCTAAAATATGTTTATTTAGGTTCTAAGTTTTAGATTCGGCTTGGTTGCCCGTATTTATAGTTAATTACTTTTTTAACTAGTGTTAAACGATGTGCCATTTAATAATAAGGACGTCTATGGTGACTACATTAATTTTAAGATTTGTGTGCTGGCTGAGTTTTAATTTGGAAATGTGCTTATAAGGGTTGGGCGTATGTTCATATATATGGGTGATTGTGCATACGTGTATAAAAGTGCGTAGGTCTGAGCTATGTTTGGGGAAAAAAAAAATCCACCCCTGCTATTTTTTTCTGAGTACACCCTAGCTAGTTTATATCACCCTAGCTAGTTTATATTCTGATTCTGATCATCAGGCGTGGAGTGTGTTTTTTGAATACCAATTTATGTAGTTATGTCACAGATAATTTTGATTCTGAGTCCTTGTTGCCATTTTTTTTGAAAACGGAAAGATCAGTACGTGAGATAATAAAGAATATAATTATTAAATATGTATGGCTGTTGACTTTAGTTAGGGAAATGTCTTAAGGAGAGATAAAGTACAGTGAGGGATTGTTGCGAAGAAGGCTAAATGAGAGGTAGATTATAATTTGTTGAATGTAAAAGCCAGTGAAACAATTAAATGATCAATATAATATTATGATTGGTTGAGATTTTGGGTAGTCAAAAAAGTAACTATATTTTAAACATAAAGCAAAATGTAGTTATAAGTCGAAACAAAGAGAACAATTATAATATATTTTATTATTAAAGATACTTTAAACATTTTAAAAATTATTTCATATTTCAAACAACTTCTTTTAACAGTTTGAAAAACGTTCAAACAGAAATCGACGAAGTAGCCAAATCAATCTCCAAACCAAAAACCTTAGATTAACATGTTGTCCCTCCGTTCCGTATTACTCCCTCCATCCAAAATGATCATCATATATGTTTATATATCAAAACTCCATACACACATTCTCCCACAATACATGCATCTATTAAAACACCATGCCAATTACACTCCAGCATACACACATTCTCCCATGCTGCATTAATTATATTCCGATGAAATGCGTGATCATGATTAATTTAAGGAATTTTTTATTCTATTATATAATGATCAATTTAGGGAGGAGGAGTACTTATTGTTAGAATAAATGGGCTAGGCCCGATTTTTCTATTAAAATCTCAAGGGCCAATAATAAATGTTAAAGATAATAATACCACCCTGGGAATTAAAAGTGGAGTATCTCAACTTAAATAGAGAGTTATTGAAGGCTCCCTGTTGACCGGTTGAGATGGGAATCGGAAAGCCACACGCGCGTGCGTGCGCGCCGAGCCGAGCCACGAGGGCAAGGCGTGCCGTGCGTTGCGTCTGCGTCTCTCTCTCGAGATCCTTTTGCAACGGCTCAGAATCCAACCCCGCGAGATTACCTCTATAACGGGCAGGCGATTGAATACTCATTGATCGCATCATTACTGCGGCAACGGGAGCGGATCCTTCTCCTGCGGGCAGGCGATTGAATACTCATTGATTGCATCGTTACTGCGGCAACGGGAGCGGATCCTTCTCCTGCGCTATTAGGACGACACAGAGAGATTGCATCGTTACTGCGGCAACGGGAGCGGATCCTTCTCCTGCGCTATTAGGACGACACAGAGACCCCCGATCAGATCTCTCACACATTCTTCCTATCGTTGTTCTTCCACTGTTGTGCCTGTGCTGCTTCTGTTCTCCCCGGTTCTGATCACTTGCGCGCACGAGTGATCGGAACAAGCAGGGCCTCCAAAACCACACATTTGCCTGAGATCTGCACCGGGTAGGCGGGTGATCAGGTTTTTAGGGAGTGCTTCTGCACGACTGCTCTCTCTTCCTCACCGTCGGTTCTGTTCGGTCTGCGTCGCGGTGATGTCTACTGGTGGCGGCGTCAACGGAGGTGCGCCAGGAGCAGGAGACGCACCGATCGACAACACCAACGGAGGCAATTCTGCCTCACAATCCAATAGAGGGGCTTTTACAAGGTATAACATCCTACTGCTACCTCTGTTTTTGTTACATCTGTTAGTCGCAATGTTATTGCGTTGTCTCAATGATGTTGATGCTTATTTTATCTTAAGCATGCTCCTGGTTATGTTTAATTTTATCACTAGATCACCACACATGGTTCATGTCATGTTTATTATCTTAATATTTTAGATTAAAATATACCGATATATGACTATATTTTCAACGCTTATGTCTTTTTTTTGCGAGGACTTATATGTCATTTTGGCTTTGTTACGAGTCAAACCACATTAAATTTAATCAAATTTAACGGGTGGAGTAGCAAATATGTTTAGCAAAAGTACATGTTTCGTAAAATTATTTTGGCCACGAGATCGAATGGTACGATTGAACCGTTGGAACTAGCTAGATTAATTTACATTTGAGATCAAGGTCCGACGTCACGTGATGATTTCATCCAAACAACTCCTTGAACAAGTGATATGACTAATGTATAGACAATAACTAGTCCGACATTATCAATTGCTGGCCCGGCCTGATTTCCATGCCAGCCGCAATTAACAAGTCCAACATTATCTGTCTGCTATTATTGCAGGCGGCAGGCCCGGCTTTTCTGCAGTTACTGCAATTAGCTCTTCTTTAGTTATCAACTTTTTCTTCAAATTTTTAACTTTTTATCACATTAAAATTTTCCTACACACAAACTTTTAATTTTTTCGTCACATCGTTCCAATTTCAATCAAACTTCCAATTTCAATGTTAACTAAACACACTCATGCATGAGTCCATAAAAAAAGTACTGAAAACGATATACAGCAAACTGTAGCAATAATACTGCTGTCCCATAAAATAAAATTTATATCAGCAATTAAAATTTGTCGTAAAATACTACAATTTCTTCTTCACGTATCTCCTATCCTCAACTAATCATAATTATTCACATTTAATTTCGTCCTTCTAACCCATCTCAATTAATCACAATCGATCATCCTTAATTTAATTCCGCTTCGTTTTCTAATATTCATGAGATTCTTTAAAATGCTTATATATTAACTTTTGCTAACAGATTAGTTGCCGGTCATGCCACATTAACTGGAAAATATGAAGGAAAATATGTAGTGCAAAGCTAAAACTACCATAGGATGTAAAAGTAATAGTTTTTATGTTATGAGTAAAAGATATACTCTGACGTGAACGAATCTGAGACACTCATATTAATCTCTCTAAACACGTAGGATCGGTGAGAAATTAGCCATGCCACGTGAGCCATATTTTTCAAAAAAAAAATCCTCATATTTTGTGAAATAACACACATGCCCAAATTCGCGTGTACTGTCCGATCTCAATGAGACAGGGATCCAGCTGTACGTGTGTCCCAGCGTGGCAGCTGTTCCTCAGCCGTAGGATCGGGGATACTAGAATGAGAGGCTCAGATTTTCTCTACCGATGCCTCGAAGAAAAAACCCTAGCGCTGCTCCTCCCTTGCCCTTGCGGCCCACGCCCGACGCGGCCTCTCCCTCGCGCAATCTAGCGGCGGATGCACCGTCTTCTTCTCGGTGCGCCGCCTCCGCCCCTCCTCCCCTCCTGGTGCGCGGCTCTCCCTCCCCTCCACGCTGTGCTTCCTTCCCTCCTCTAGTCTGTGCCTCTTCTTTCCCATAGTTGAGAATCAGCGAGTCATGGTGGAATCGACGCGACCTGAAGGTGTTGTCCTGCATCTCAGCCCTTGCCCCGGTATGGATTTGCTGCCGCCGCAAGTTGCCGGCATTGATGTATTACCGTTGTAGCCTGATGGCCTTGCGTTGGGTTGGGTTACTGTTCCTCCGTCATCATCGTCCAAAACACCATCGACGTCCAGGTAGGTTGCCTAATTTTCTCCTGTTCAATTTATCTTTGGCTAATTGGCTCCTGTTGGTTTTGCTGTCTTGGGGTAAGGAGAAGAAGAAATAATTGGGGTTACACCAGTAAATTTTTTTTCTTTATTAACAGATACCTTCTAGATGTTTGGTAAAATTCTTAGAAGCAAATCTAAATTTATTCTCAAAATACATCGTTCCTGCAACTTTGTTAATTATAATGTCCTATTTTTTTATTTCTGTTAACTTGTGCGTATATAACTTCTCACTAATAATGATATAATATTGAAGATGACACATCTATGTCATTTATCAGAGATGTACAGGTTAAAGATTTGCACATGGACTTAGCTTCATAATGAAATCCAACATTGGTACATGTATGTGCCAATTGTTTATGTAATCTTAACAAATTTGGTCTACAGGAAATATGCTTCGAAAAAAATCTTATTTTTTTTATTCTCGGTTACACTGATTCAAAAATGTAGATATGAAGTATATGGCATGGTAGCACATGGCAGTTGTGGTTTTCTTTCCCAAGATATATACTTCAGAATATACAAAGTTAGTTGGAGAGTACAAGTTTTAATGTTCTGCTTCGCTGCCCTTTTCCTTTAGATGTTAATGAGTGAATTCTGTAGTAATGTCACTATTCCTTCATTGTTTACCAGGGAGTAATATTTGGTGAACAAGTCGGCGAGTTTTCCTGCAGCCACCATGTGCTTTTAGCAATGGTATTTTCCTGCAGCCACCTTTATATGCTTCTGTTTGGAGGTATGGATATTTTCTTATTGTCTTCTCTGGATGATATATATGGTCTTAAGAATTCTTATCGGATTTTTTAGTTGTAGTTTCATGACAGCATATTATGTTTATGCTATGAGTAGGTTTTGCCTCAATTTCCTTCCCTATGCAACAAATCATATTTTATTTGTTAATTTGTTATGCTCTATATTTGTACATAGCGGAAATACATATGCATTGATGATATCCTTTTTCTACAATCTTATATTGGCAATAGTGCTGCATACATCATGAAAAATTATCTGTAGACCTAACGACTTGGTATATTACCACTAAATTTGGATTATGCAATTCATTTTCTAAGACAGACGAAAGGGTCGTTAGGACTAGACTGATGATTGTGCTGATTTTATGGTAATGATATGATTTCATGGTGTAAGTATTTTAGCCTCATATGTGGAGACTCCATTATTCTACGAATCATATTATAACGACTAAAATGGGTCAATGTTGGGTCTATAAGTCAAGACAAATCACAAATTATGTTGCACAACTAGCGAAAAAAATCTCTCCATTGAAGATCTCAATATTGGTAAGAAATTTACTAAACCACAATTACTAAATTTCTAAATCAGTTCAGACTCTATATATAACAAGCTAACAATTTAGATGAGACATGCCATATGTTCCAACAGGGACGCACTGGAATGTTATTTTTCTTCTGTACAAGCGTTATTCCTGTTTTTTCTCTTTCCAGCTCTGTTTGGTTTTGGAATTTTTTAATGACCCATCCTTCAGGATTGATTGTTTTCTTTGCAAATATACCTACAGAGTTTTCATTATAAGCTGACTTTAAGATATGATGTCATTATTATTTTTTGTTTAATTGATTAAATGTTTATGTTTGCCCCTTCTTGGAAGAAATAGATATTTCAATATGGTTTTTTTGACGAGTGTTTTCTCCTACCTGTCATATATACTCATCAGGTAGCAATATATGGATGACATCCAAACATGCGCTTAAACATGATTATGTAAGAGTTACCTTAGTATTCATAGTATTCAGTGGCAAGGAGGTACCACTTCATGTACTAAATTGTTGCAAGTACATTATGCGATGTGGTGTTGTTTTTATTGAGCTAAGCACTAAAATTTTCTTTGCGGTGCAGTGCTATATATGTGAAAAGATTCAATTAGTTTATGATGAAGATATCTATGAAAAAATATTGTAATTCTCTAATCACCTAATGATTGCCGTTGACATTGTTTCTTCTATAATCTATACCCCAACATTATGTAAGCACCATTGTCCTCTGATTGCTACTTTTCTGTAAATGTGCATGTTTGTACAGACAATTGTCTGAGCAAACAGATTATATTCGCATTTAAATATTGGTGATATATATTCAAAATGTGTATTCATATGTAGGTATGCTTCTCACATAATGCTTTTATATAATGTGTAGATATAATGCTTAAAAGTTGCAACTATATATATACGTTGTTGTTTTGATTATGATATCATGGCTTCAAACATTTATTCCCACGCACGCAGCGTAGCGCGTGACTCTTTCTAGTTCTTTTTATATTAGATAGTTTTCAGGTTTGCACTATCTAACAAATGACAAAGTATATTTTTTTATATGCGTTGATTATATGTTTTTTCTGTTGGTAGTGATATAAGGTTGGAGAGAGTATATATTAATTAGAATCCAATGTCAATTAGGCTTGTAAGGAATTTTAGATAGATATGGCATATCCTAGTACAATGAATCGACAGGTTAGGATATCTCACATCTATCCAAAATCACATGTATTATGGGACGGAGGGAGTATAACCTTACAAGGCTGCACTGTAGCACCATGATAGTAGTGTGGTTGTGTTTAGTTCAACACCACAATTGAAAATTTGGTTGAAATTGGAACGATGTGACGAAAAAATTGAAAGTTTGTGTGGGTAGAAAAGTTTTGATGTGATGAAAAAGTTAAAAGTTTAAAGAAAAATTTTGCAACTAAACACGGCCGTACTACCAAAGGAATTCCCGTCGCTGCAGCAGAGGATCACATCGGGAAACGCCGTCGCTGCCTTGCCGCCCATGTCGCAATGTTAGCATCAGGTAGACTAGTGTTGTCTGGTGCAGGTGGCAGGACGACCTCAATCAGATTGACAACGGGCTAAAAACGTCGCCATAGCCTCCTCCAAATTAGAAAAAGAAATTGAAAACGTCGCCGTAGCTAGCAAGCACTACCAGGCAACCTTTGGCCACGACGTACGAACTGCTAATGGAAATGACCAATAATTGCAGACTGCTGTTGCACGTCATAATGGCTCGCCCGGCAGGCCAACCCACGCCACCCCGCTTAGGCTGTGTTCTTGGGCGAGTGATGGGCACCAAACCTCTCGCATTGATGGATTCATGCACGATTAATTAAGTATTAATTAGAAAACTAAAAAATGGATTAGCATGGTTTTCTACAAGGCGGACTCTTAGATAAAAACATTGTGATTGTTAACGGTGTTAGGTAAAATATAAAGAGAAGATAGTGCTAGTAAAGTATTTTCTTGGAGAACTAGTTTAAGTGTCCGTGCGATACGACAGTGAAGAAAAATATGGTATTCAGTAAATAATCATGGTGGCTAGACCCTTCCAATAATCGCTGACTGTTGCTAGTCACGATTGAGATACCACAAGCATTATGTCCATTCGAACCATTTTCCTGTTATTATGCTTAGAATAAGGCAAATTTTGCTACAGAACATCGTGACTTTGTGGTTTTAGATGTAGGACACAGTAAAAGTTGATCTTTGGGGAATACCCTATCAAAATGTGGATATTTAATTTGCTGCTAGTCACCACGACCATTAAAATATTAATTTTCAGTTGAATAGTGAAGGGAAATACATGGAATGTCCGAAGTAACCCTGGCCCTACCGGTCAGATTGTTCTTCTTCGTCCCCTTTCATCACTCTTTCATAACTGCAGCGATATGGACACAGCAGGCGTGAACATGCATCATATCGGATGATCGAGGCGAGGGGCGCTGAGCGCGACTAGTACCGCTTGGCACAGTGCAGCGGCACGGCGCGGCCACCCGCTGGGTAGATCCGCGCGGTTGCGCGACGAGAACAACGGCAATTAATGAGGCAGAAGAGGAGGACGGACAGTATGGCGTACGTGGACGGCAACTGGGTTTTCTTCTCTGTTGATTTGAGGGGGCAACGTACGTGACGATGTGGCTAGCTCGGCAAGGTTAGGATTCAATCCGTTGCTAGGCCTTCTACCCTCGTGTTTTGCTTAGGCTTAAACAAGACTAGGAGAAAAATCTTTGTAGTTACAAAACCCTTTTCTTAATTTATTTTTGATGGATTTTTTTCAGGCTAAAGAAGACTCCTCTGTGTCTAGTGTCGACGCTGCACAAGAAAAGGGGAGGAAAGGGAGGAAAAAGAAAAATCTAACCGGTGAGGCCAGGGGTACTTTGGACCTTCCACGTATTTTCCTCCACTGTTCAGCTGAAAATAAATATTTTAATGGCCGTGGTGTCTAGCAGCCAATATCCACATTTTGCGACTGTATTTCTCTAAAGATCAACTTTTATCGTGTGCTACAGCTAAAACAACAAAGTCACGATGTTTTCTAGTAAGTTTGTCTTAGAATAATGTTTGTGCTGCCATATATGTCTGCAGCTCCTAGCCCTCTTCCAGTCGTCCGTATAGGGATATGACAAAGCTCCATAACAAAATATCAACTAAATAATCAATGCAGCAAATTAAACTGTGGAGGAGATTAATCATCACCTATAACCAAACATGTTAGATCAATTTGTTTCCATCATCTATACAAAAAATAGTACTACAAAATTTCAAATGTTGTCTTGCTGAATCCACACCTGCGCTAAAGGAACCTGTAGTGAATCCGATCCAAAGGAGCCATGCTTGTTCTGTACCAAATATGCTGAATTTTTGTTGTAATTCTTTTTTTCTGAAAACAATGCTTTATTTATTGCTCTACCTGCCTTAAAAGAGTACATTTTTTTCTCTAAACCTTCATGTTCATTACCAGAGTTTCAGCTAACCTGTAACAATGCAAACATTGTAAACATTGTTATTATAGTACCATAATACCGTATTCAAAATGATTGTGATAGATGTTAGGAATATGACTTACTGTGATCCAAAAATAAGCTAAGACTGTTGTTGAATCTCTTAGTTAAAAAAACTAAGCCAGACATTAACCGATCATCCTTCTTCTCCCGTTCTTGCAACAATAAAATGAGCAGGGGATCTTAAAAATTTCAGCAAGCTTGTTTATTTTTTGTATTGAGACTCTAACACAGGATTTCCGCCCGCGTCCCTCTCCCCAGGCGACACCGTGCACCGACAGCCCCGCCTCCTCCTCCCCTCCACCTGGCCGCCGCCCAAGCAGCCACCGGCAAAGCCACGCGGCGCCAAGGACGATGGTGGCGAGGCCTCCTCTCTTCACTCGAGAAGCGCGGCGGGGCACCGGTGAGACCCAAGTGAAGTGCCGCCTCGGCGACTGAGGCGGCGGCGGCGGTGCCCGCCAGATCCGCGCCGCTCCGGCCAGATCTGGCGGGGTGGCGGCTGGTGGCGAGGAAGGCGACGGTGGCGGAGGTGGCGACGGCGACGGTGATGGCGAGCTGTGTCGGATGTTGGGGACCGTCGGCGGTGGGGATGGATATGGCGCTCCGGGGATGGAGGTGGTGGTGAGGCTGGCGACGGCGGGCCGGATCCAGGCGCGCCGGAGGCGAATCCGGCCCCTCCCCCCCCCCCCCCCCCCCCGCGGGCGGATCTGGTGCGGGGAGAGCCCCACGTCCTCGCTGGTGGCGGTCGTGGAGCCCTGCTATAAGCGGCGGCCGTGGAGGCCAGATCCGTGCCGGTGGGGAGTGAAGGAGGCGACGGCGGCGCCTAGTGATGGCCGTGGCGGCGAGGTGCTCGGCGGCGACGGTGGCGGTGTCCCCCAGATCCGCGCCACCTCGGCCGAATCTGGAGGGTGGCCGGCGGTGGTGGTCGTGGCAACTGGCAGTGTCGGCTGGTGACGGCGGCGGAGGGCATGGCGGCGGCGTCGGGGCGGTTGCTGGCTGCTTTGGCGGCGGAGGGCGACGAGGCAGCGGCTGCATTGGCGGTGGCGACGATTTGCGAAGGCGGCGGCTGGCGTTGGCGACTGGTGACAACGACAGCAGTGACGGCGACCGGCTTGCGGTGGCCATGACTGAGGAGGCGACAACGATGTCGGTGGATGCGACTGTGGCTGGCGACGTCGTGCAGACGGTCGCCGGAGACAGCAAGTGGAGGCGGGGAAGGAGTCGGGTGCGAGGTGAGGATGGCGACAGTGAGGTGGCTGGCCGTTCGGCAGCAACGGCTGCGGTGGCGGTGACCATGACTGCGGTGGGAGGAGGCATGGCGGCCTCGGACGGCTAGCCGAGGGTGTGGCAGACGGCTGCGTCTGGCCGGCGTGACAGCGTTTGGAGGAGGGGTCAGAGACTGGCTTGGCACAGCTAGGCGCAGCGGAGGCTAGCTCAGCGCGAGAGGCGCGGGCGGCGGAGATGGAAGCCGGCTTAGCACGAGAGGCGCGGCCGATGGAGGGAGGCCTGATTGGCGCGAGAGGCGCGTCCGGTGGAGGAGGCTGGCTTGGCACGAGAGGCGCGGCCGGCGGTGGAGGAGGCGACCTCGGTGCGAGGTGGAGCTGTCGGTGGGTGTGGCGCGGTCTTCGGCGCACGAAGGTTGGCCGGCGGGGGGCGCTGGTGCAGGGTCCCACATGTCGGCAGAGGTTGAGTGGTGGTGGAGCATCGGTGTGTCAGCCGTGGATTCGCAGGTGGTGAGCGGCGGGTGAAAACCCAGCCCGGCCTTGGCCGGACCGACAACGATGGTCATTCCCCCTCCTGAGAGCGTTGTCGTGCTGTCTCACCCCTCAAGGGTGGTTGCCGGGCGAAAGCCCGCTCTTGGCTCTTTTGAGCCCCAACGGACGGCGGCGGCGGTTTTCCATCGTTTCTCTTCTTGAAGACGTCATTTTGGCATACCCTAGGTGGGGCGATCTCGTCTGTGTTCCTTTGTTGGTCTAGCGGCGGCCGGTCTGGTGCTAGCCTTCTCCCGGGCTTGTGTGTTAGCGTTGTCGATGTGTGGGTGGTGGTATATTTTTTTTCCTTTTTCCTGGTTACGATTCTCCAGGGTTGTAATCTTGTAATTTTTTTCCTACTCTATCAATAGAACTTCGCACTGTCTCGTGCAAGTTGTTCAAAAAAAAATTCAGCAACAGGTTCTCACTACTTACCATGGGAGTAGATGGAGCAGTACCAAATTTAATTTATATGGCAGAGTGCTCAGCTGGCAACATGAGTAACATTATTACTCTCACGAATTTACATGGATTTTACCCGTTCAACAACCTTCTAAATGAAGAACCAATTTGTGTGGAAGAGTATTGTTATTAAAGAGGACATTAGGACAACCAAAGTTGTAGCTGCTAACAGGAAAGCGAATTACCTGTACATGGTAAAGGAACGCATACCTGTGTAAAAGAAAAAGATCGATTAACAATAGAATACAAATATTTTTGACGTGGCTATCGAAGATTGAGAAAATCAAAGGCATGTTTCATGTGATAATTGCAATGCAAGCACCAATTCTAGGTAACAAACAATTCGGGTGCCATATGGGCTTCGTTTCAACAGGCGATTCCCAATCGCACGTGCCAAAGAATTTTGTCACCTGAGCATAACCTTTTGACAAATCATTCAGCCTCAGAGGCCATTCCAAATTTTAGACATTTGTGATTTTTATACCACCCACCAGTATGGCCATGCCAAATGACATTCCACGGGATAAAGGTAGTTACCCGATACGACACGACTTAAACTCAGACATGAGCATCCATGACAATTTAAAAAGGGACTGTCTATAGATCATTTGACAGAAACCCCCTTACAAATCTTGTAAATTTTGGACCACCCGATTGCTTTAAGATTTGTGCAGGCAACCAAACCCTAAAAATCCTCTATCCTCTCCCGATTCCTCACGCCGCCGCTCCTCAGCGCTCCCCCCTACCTCCACCACCGCCACCGCCGCCCGGCCTCGCCAGCTGGCCGAAAGGTGTCAACGGTGCCGGCGAGCCCCCCCCCTGGCCGGCCCCCTCCCCCTCCCTCTCCTCTCCTTTTCCTCAAGCCAGCGGCGGCGAGCTGTCTGTCGTCTTCCCCGTCGCCGGCGGCGGGGTGCCACCATCGGCCATCTCCTCCTACCACTCTTTCCGCTTTGCCCCCGCCGCCTACACCGGCCTATCGCCCGCTCCCGACCCCGCGGCTTCGGCGCCGCCACTACCGCCTCGCCGCCCACCCAATCCGCCGAGCTGCCGCCTCCCACGGCCATCCCTCTAAAGCCGGCGAACTCCCCCCTCTTCCCCCTCCCCTCCCCCCTACCACCCCCACCCTACCCCGGGACCCTAATTCGTCGGCCCTCTACCGGAGTTTGGGTTCGTTGGCGCCGGAGAAGAAGAGGTGGTTGCCAGAGTTGGAGAAGAAGAGCACGAATCGTGAAGCACATTCAATGATCCAAAATTTGCAAGATTTGAGGTTGTATTTTCTGTCAACAGAAGTTTAGCATTTCCGATTTAAAAACTCTGCAATCCATTTTCAGCAACGGGGCTGTGACGGGAGAGAGCGGGCGAGCGAGAGGAGCGCGGGCGTTGTGGTCTTGTGGAGGAATAGATGCGGAGGAACAAACACAGAGGAGCGCAGACCGTTGGATGTCGTAGGAGGATCTTTCGAGCAATCTTACCCCTTTAGCATGCGGAGGCGGCAGGCACGACGGCGATGGCAACCTGGAGCGGCCGGCGACGCCGATGACAGTGCGGAGGCTGATGTGAGGAGGGCGGCGCAGGGGAGTGGGCTGATGGGGAGTCGACGACGACGTCTGGGGCAGTCGGTGATGTCGACAATAGTGCTGATGCTGACAGGGAGGAGTGCGGAGCAGGAGGAGTCGGCGGCGGCGGCGGCGAGATGAAACCGCCCGTGCGATGGGAGGAGACCGAGCGCGATGCGCGATGGGGAGGAAATTGACGTGTTGTGCACGATGGGTGGTCTAGGCCATTGGATACGGCGATCCAATGGCTGTGATTACGCGTGTTTGTCTGATGCGTCTGGTGTGTCAGGGTTCAAGATCACCACTACGTTTTTTTAAGTAGTATAGATAGTTTGGGTTCAATTTTTCATGCCCTATTTGATTCGTTTTCTTGCAGACATTGAGTGTTCATGCCCTAATTGTGCATGGTCTAGAATGGATAGAAATACTGAGTTGCTACCATTATGTGTTTCAGATTGTCTTGAACCACCAGTGGTTGGTTGGGCCTCATGCTTGGGGAGTTTTGTGTATATGGACTGAGTTTACCTATGGCTGGGTTGGGTAGATTTCAGGTTTTCAGTTTATATCTTCTCCATGTGTGTACATTGTGATCGAACCTTTAGTGTTGGAACCTAAATGATTTTTCTCTACACTTAGCATTACGTTGAATACTTCCTAATCAGATTAATTACTTCTGTTCAAAGGGAAATTTCCTCATCTATTGGAGAGTTCAAGAAAAAAGTTGCTACTCAAACTAATGAAGAGGAAAGCTAATTTGTTTGCATCACTTTAGCAGGGGTAAGAGCATCCCCAGCAGCTTCTCTATCTAGTCCTCCATCCTTAATTTGGCGCATAGGAGCCAAAAAATCACCTCCAGCAGTTGCGCCATCCAGTCATCCAAAAGTAGAGCATGCGCCAAAACAGGAGAGAGAAAGGGCAAATATAGCGTGTCTCTCTCCTCACGCCATATCACAACGACCGTGCTCCCGCCCCCATCCGGAGTTCCGCGACCTCTCCTCCGCAGCCTGCGCCGCCCTCGATCCGCAGCCGGCGTCGTCGCCGCTCGGGCCGCCTGGCGCGGCTCGCCGCCGCCGCCTTCCGTCGTCGCCCTCGTCGGTCCCACCTGCCTCCTCCACCCCTAGGCCGCCCGCCGTCGCCCGCCTCCTCCCCGGCCGCCGCGTGCTTCCTCCCTGCCCAGATGCGCCCTCGCCGGTCATCCGCCGCCGCCCCTCAGCTCGCCCAGATGCGCCCTCACTGTAGAGAAGTAGTACTCTAGTAGAGAAATAGTTGAGTAGTGAAGTTGTAGTTGAGTAGAAGTAGTACTAATAGAGAAATAGTTTACTTGCATTGCTTTTATATTCATTAAGCACATAAAAAAATGCTTCACTCATTTTAAATATATATCAATTAAAAATTACCCATTAAAAATATATCCGTTAAAATTTACTCATTCAAAATATTATCGTGATAAATAACACCATTAAAATTAAGTCATTCAAAATATATCTCTTCAAATACAAATATAAAGTTAGTTAGAAGATATTACTAAAATATAGGATGATGGGATATGGATGATAGGATATAGATGATCTGTTGCAGTGGAACGAGATATGGATGAGGAATCTTTTTTGGATGATAATCCATATGGGTATTTGGAGGATCAAATATAGATGAGCTGCTGGGATGCTCTAATTAAGTTGTTTCACATTCTCTAAGAAAATGCTTTACTCACACTAGCTTCTCTTTATATTTTACCTAACACCGTTAACAATCACAATGTTTTTATCCAAGAGTCCGCCTTTTCGATCTGGTCTTTTACGCAGACCAGAAGGGGTAGTAACAAACTCTCTTATTTGATCGAACTTTACATTACTTATAGGCTTATAACAAACATAATATACACAACGTACAAGCGATGGACTCGATGGTAAACTTGGTAACATCAACTATCGGCGGAAGATGTTTGATCAAGTTGGCGGCGTCCTAGAGCCGAGTGCTCTTGAAAGCTCTCTGATAATGGACTTCTCCTTGGCATCTTTATCTCCTTCGAAATGCCATTTTCGGGACATCTCTTCAGCCTAGTTTCAGAATGTGTGGGACAACAAAACTAAAAGAGTTAAGAAGGCCAAAAGTACACTGAGAGATAGATAGAAGAGTAAGTATGTAGGAAGAAAAGAAAAGCACAGAATTTCTCTTACCCAGCTTCTCAATGGAGCTATTTGTTCTTTGATCATGTCGGCTCGTGGTTGCACAGCATCTCTTCCTTTAGTTCTGACATCATCTACCTAAAAAGATATGTCAATGCATAATGTTAGTAGAAGAACATAATTTAGTATGTGCGGTTGGTGTACGTATTGGAGTGTAAATTATCATCTACACCAACATCACAAAGGAAAGTTAATTGCCATCTTCATTGAACTGAAGAACCTATTTTTTATCTTTACGGTCACCCCTATATCTACCTTGGATGTAAAAAGTTTTAATCACTCAAGCATATGGCAGAGAAAAAATAAGGGCACTAGGAGCATAGCAATTATTATATGAATACTGACAAATATAACTGCAGTATACAGCTATAAATTTAACATCAATCATGAAGTACAAAAAAGATAGATGGTAAACATGCACGCATGCTCTAGCCTTAATATTCCAATTTACAATTTGAATTAATTTATTCCAATTAATTGTTTGCTTAAAGCCAGTTCGTTGACTTACTGAATGCAACTGCAGCTTATCTGCTGTGTATAATAGGACAGCCGTTGATCCTCCAAACACCAATATAGTTGCAGCAATAAATGCCTTTCCAACTGTAAAAATCTAATAATTAGAACAAAACCGAAAACACATTATAACTCAATGTTTTTTAGCAAGAAAGTATACTCTGCGAGTATCCAGCGATTACAGCCTTCAACTTTTCAGGGTCCATGGGAGGTGGGTGCCTATCACGCCGTCGCTCATTGGCCGTTGAGGAAGAGTAGTTTGGCTGCTCATTTGGAAGCTGCCATCTGCAAACAAAAACCACTTAAGAACAGTGAAAAGAAAATACATAACCAAGTTCAGCTTTGCTGTATATGCTTAACAATACATGAATTAATTTCTAGGAGCCTGAGAGCATAGACGCTCAGGTAGCAATTATAAACAGGAAAGTGTTAGACGCTACAAACATCATATGAATATTTTTCTTTTACAAGTCCTGAAGCTGTGGTGAGAAGATCAGGTTTGCTACATCACCAAATTATAATGAATTATTAGGCTGATAGAAGTTTATAGTTCACTTACAGACATACATGTAGTACATTATGTCCATGTAATCAATATCATCCTTAACTGAACTTAAATGAATGCTTCTCCACATATGCAGAGCAAAAAACATGAGGACTGTACAGGCAAATGAGATGTAGCAAGATGATCTATGCCTTTGATCACTTGGTGTTGAGCCAGCAAGAGTGGGGCAGAAGCGATGCCAGAGCGTGCAGCGTGGTCAGGCCATGATCTGGGATACTGTTTTGTTTCCCTCCTATTTTGAATCAGCTATGTATTTTCCCATGGAGAGATGGAAGTGGAGGCAACATGGATGACTCTCTATGAAATGCTCTATGCAAAGTAGATATCTTAATTAAGCATCTATACGGTGACAGTTGTCCAGTATACAGACATGGTGGGTCTGCATTCTATAGCAAGTTTGAAGAAAAGAAAAAGGCATTCTGTCAGAGGGATGTCTGTATGTGGTGACCTCTGGGGATAAAACTTACTTCTGGGATCATGTCTGCCTTTTTTTCCCAATTTGTCGAAAGAACTGCTAATAAAAGTACGTTAGTTAAAATACTAATTTCAAATTAAGATCTAACTAAAAGAGGAACTCAAATTATAGCAATACATTTTGTATCAAGCATTTTTTCTAGCAATTGTGTATTTCTTCCGTTTCATAATGTAAGTCATTCTAGCATTGTCCACATTCATATATATGTTAATGAATCTAAACATATGTGTGTCTAGATTCATTAACATCTATATGAATGTGAATAATGCTAGAAAGTCTTACATTATGAAATGAAGGGAGTAGCATATTTTGGGAAGTGTTCTATCGGTTTAAACATACTGTTATTCTCACAAGAAAAAAAAATTTCAAAAATATGTTTAATCGATTAATCAGCTAATCAAGTTGAGAAAACATGTCAAACAATCAATTGATCCGGTTCTGCATTATGAACTAGCCCCGCCGAAAATCATACATAGCTCAAAGCATAAATTGGCAAAAAAAACCACACTACAGAAATGTTTTCATCTACCTCCAAGCATAAAAGCTCCTAACTTTTCCTGGTTCAGACCTACTAAAAAATTACTTCCTCGATCAAAAGAGCACATTGAATTCACTAAAAAAACCAATCATAGCAGCATATGCACGCACACGGCAATTTGCTTCTCGTGTATGAATGATCATGATCAGATACAGATTAATCCAATTAAGCGCATCGACATACACTAAAAAAAATACTTTGTCGATCAAAAGGCGCACATTGAATTCACTAAAAAAAATCGCCAATAGGCATATGCACGCACGCACGCGGCAATTTGCTTCTCGTGTATGAATGATCATGATCACATACAGATTAATCCAATTAAGCGCATCGACATACACTAAAAAAATTTACTTTGTCGATCAAAAGACGCACATTGAATTCACTAAAAAAAAATCGCAAGTAGGCATATGCACGCACGCACGCACAATTTGCTTTTCTCGTGTATGAACGATCATGATCAGATACAGATTGATCCAATTAAGCGCATGGACATACACAAAAAGGCCTCAAGAATTCAAAACTAAAGGAACAGCATAATTAGAGCAGAAGAACCAATCGGGTAAAAATATTACTACTACCTTTTGGGGCCGAAGGTCGCCTGCGGGAGAGAGACGTAGGAGCGGAGCGGGTTGAGCGCGTCGGGGGACAAGCCGGCAGCCTCGGCGCCGCCCCGCGGGACGGCCCAGCGGGAGGACGCGGAGAGCGAGGGCTCACCCGGAGGCGGCGTCGCCTTGATGGGCACGGCGTGGCGGAGGATCTCCGGGAGCACGTCGGGCGACGGCGACGTCGACCCGGGGGCGGGGGCGGGGGCGGGGGCGGAGGCGGGGAGCTTCTCCGCGAGGCGGCCGGCGGCGTGCTTGGACTCCTGGAGGAAGTAGGCGCCCTCCTTGGCGGCGAGGCGGCCGGCTAGGAAGCTCATAGGCGGCGGCGGCGGCGGCGGCGCAATTGATCGAACAGGTGGTGTACAGGGAGGTTTGAGACTCGGGACGGGGTTCTCTTTTGTAGGTGTGTCGTCCGTACGCAAGGAGTGACGTGGATGGCTGCATAGCTACATGCAAATCCATACCCATAATACTAGGAGTTTGCATTACAAAAATCCATCTACAGTAGAGTTGTTTTCGAGAGCTCCAGCTTCCAAATTCTCATGAAATTTGTCGATTTGAGATTTTTTTTTCACCGAAGGAAATTTGAGAATTTTTAGTTCAAATATAAATTTAAACCTCAGTTTATTAGTCTTAAATGTGAATAATATGACTAAACCCAAATCTCCACAAGGCATGGACAGTGTTGTAAACAGCCATATGAAGTTTTCATGTTATTCAGATGTAAACCTTTTTTTTTTTTTGAGAGGATTCAGATGTAAACCTTGTATAGTGGTTTTTCTGTTTATTTTGTTATCTATAACAGATTTATGTATTTTATTAAATCCATTCTATAAATGGAATATAAAATGGTATATATGACATTAAGTAATCTAATATTTGATAGTCTTATAATCAATAATCAGCAGAGCTGCAGAGGGCGTCACCAAATATACATATAGTATGTGCTGTATTTTTTTACTACTAGACGCTGAGATGTTGAGATTTCCATCTTTTTGTGTGTCCCCGTTCCCAAAATGGTTCCTGATCCTAAAGTCAAAAGTAAGAACAAATTCTTGGGAAGGAAGTTGCTTAAATCTAAACACCCTTGTACAAGGTATAGCAAAAAGCAGTGGCAAATTCTCTGCCTTGGTCAACAAGTCCTGCCATATCAGTCAACTACAGCTGCATTACAAAATCTCAACAGGAGGATCAGAGCGACCAACTTCTGAAGTGACAATTGCTTGTACTAAAACTACTGACATGCATAAACACTCCTGCTAGTCTGATCTATATACCACTTGCTGCAAATGGGAATTTGCTACCCCCTTTACAAGTAACAAGAGAAGAACAAGGGCATATGCAATACAAAATAGCCCTGATAGTGAACAATTTGTTTTGTCAACACTGTCAGTTGATTCTTACTTCTGAAGTTTACTCATTAGAGCAATTTTGCCATGCACTGTTTACAGAAATTTTTAACACAGAGACAGGAATCTTCCTGATACGGGCACCATGCCAAAAACATAATGCTACAAATGGATGTTTCCCAATGGTCTCATGGATAAATACAACATATAAAGAACAAGATAAGTGTTCCTCTTGCTGTTCATTTTAACTTCCTCAATTTGTATAAACTTACAAGTTACAACAATGTTATGTACGGCTCGTATAATACAAGACTACTCAATCAACTAAAGAATAGAAGAGAACTAGTTGCCACTTGACTCATCAAATGACTGAAAGAAACCATATTGAAGATCACATACTCAATTTGCCAAAAACCTGCATCCTGAATTGTCAAATGATACAAACAAGACAGCCTTCAAAACTAGAATGGTGCTGCTAACGTTGCTCGGCAAAATGAAATTGTTTCTTTTTGTGACAGATGCTGATGATGTACTCCCAGTAACCGCATTGTTCAATTTAGCTGTATCAAAAAATCTGGCAGCACTGCAGCTTGGATGCACACTTCAGTCCTTGGTACCATCACATAGGAGATAAGAAAGTGCCATGGTATTGAAATCCAAAACAAATTTGTCTGATCAGGAAGCCAGGAAATGCTAGTTGATCATATTAAACTGTGCTAGAGCCATCATCAGAGAGTGCAATTGTTTCTGCTAGCAGTGAGAGCCAATCACCCCCTTTACAATTTGATTCCAAATGGTACTTCAGGGAAAAGAGGAACAAACCCATCTGTCTGCCAAAGCACCAAACATTGTCTTCTAAAATTGCTATAGGCACAAGACAGTTCCTAAATATCTCAGTTCTCTGTTCTGCACATACAATCAAGACATCGAGGATGTCTGAATATACTCCTTGCAACTGGTCTCTCATGGACTTGCTTAGTTTGCTGTATGAGTTTTCTTACTCTAGTTTCAAATTCATTCCACTCCATTGTGGCATTCTTCAGAAGTATGCTGGCTAGCCGGCGCTTGTTTGGTCTAATTGTAGGAAGGTCCCCACCACCATAGTACATGCGATATCCTTGGACAAGGGAAGAGAACTGGCTACCTGGGTCAGTCATGGCAAAGGCATCGGCAGCTGCACATGCAATAAAGTCCAAGGCTGCTAACTGCAAATGGTATGAGAGCACAAAAAATTATCAACTGTAACCAGATTTAAGAGATACTCCCTCCGTCCCAAAAAAAAGCCAACCTAGACATGGATGGGACATTACATAGTACAACGAATCTGGACATTACATAGTACAACAAATCTGGACATGAGCATGTCCAGATTCGTTGTACTATGTAATGTCCCATCCGTGCCTAGGTTGGTTTTTTTTTGGGGTGGAGGGAGTACTCGGGTAAATTCTGAAATTGTTGTATTCCTGTTATGTCCAGTTTCAATTCTTGTATTTGGATTTTACAATGTCTACCTGAATCACCTTTTTGGGGGATATGAGTATTTCCTAGTAAGCATTGCACATGGACATTCTATTGTTCTCATAAGTTCTTTGTTCACAACGTCAGTTCTCAAATGTTCTTCTGTTATTTGACTGCATAGATTTGATCTATTAACAAACTAACAAGCTGCCTGAATTTTCTATTTTTTTCTGATTTTTACATACCCAGGCCTTATGAGTCAACCAAGCACTTCTTTCACTTAATTATAGCTTATATTCATGTATGGTTGTATCAACGCCGTCTATGTCTCTATGCATCTTTTATACGTATATTACATGCAAGGGGCCAAACGATATATCTTAAAAAATATTACCTGGGATGAAAAGTTTCTGAATGGTTCGAGTTCCGAGGAAGACAAAAGAGTTTCTTTAGATACTAAAGCAGGGTATAGACGGCTTATGGCTGCCATCCTATGTCTCCCACCATAAATTTCAGCACCTGCAATGTATACATTTGTGCTGTGCTTGAAACCAATAGCAGCAAGCATAAGCACAGCCTCTTCAGGTGCAAGGGGGCATTTTCCTTCAGATCGCAAGAAAGCAGCTGAGGGCAACCTAACATAATAGTGAGACTTTCAGATATAGATACTGTTTGAAAGGGCAAGCAATAGATTAATAAGCTGGAATTGAACACCATATACTTTTTGCCACTCAATAGGGTTAGGACCAACATATCAGTAAGATATCTGTGTGGCAGAAATACAATTTGAAATGGCAAAGGGAATCAAGATTCAAAATCAGAGGTAAAGGATAATTTTCCTATTTAATAAAAGTAACCTGGTTTGGCATGGAAGATTTTTCAAAGTTGGAGAGGAAGAGATAATTTTTACATTCATCTGTATGCAAGGCAGCAAAATAGTAAACAGAATAATTAAACGGCATACATACTTTGTCGTCTTCCTTAGTTCTGTCAAGGCTGGAAAGTGAATTTGACGATACATCTCTAATTCCTCTTCCTCATCTTTTCCACCACCAAAGTAACACATAGAATATGCAACCATATCGATCTCGAACCTGAGATGAACTGCTAGATATTTCGATGTTTCATTCTTGTTCCCCTTGAGAACAGATTTGCTAGCAAAATGGCCTAAAAGATTATCCTCCAAAGGTGATGGATGGGGTCTATGACCATGCAACCTCTCTACAAGTAATGCACCAGTTTCTTGTATTTTGTGTACGAAACGAAGAGCATGAAAATTACATCTGCAACGCAGTCTCTGTAGAAAAGTAGATGAACATATACAGTCAGAGCATGCGATTAACTTTGAAGTTCCAAAGTCCTATTCTTGCGTGTTATATGTACTTCAATGATGCTGCTAACTTGATATGTAAACAATAGAAAATACACAGCTTGGAAAATTAACTAATAAATCCTAGCTTATTTTTTTATCTTGTAAACATGTCAGATAATTATGTTTATGCGGTGTCATAAAAATCTTTAACAAAAACTAGGAACAGTACAGGGCCAAAACACTCCCATATATGACTTGGAAGCTATGAAAAAGGTCAATTATATGTACTGTCGAATTCCACTGCTGTGTAAAAGTATTGTGCAACCTAGAGTGAAAAAAGAAATCAAATGGAACTAACAGAATTTGATATTCAGATGGCTTTGCAGCTAAAACGATAGCAATCAAAAAATAGTAATACCTGAAGTTCAAAAGGTATTGGATCAAAAGACAAACGGTTACCAAATCCTACTAAGTGGACAACTCTATTCTTCAATAAAATTGGTAGTATCTTTTTTACATATAAGCTTGGCTTTGCCTCTTTCATAACATCGGTATCATTAACCTACAGAATAATACGAGTTAGATAATAAATAATGAGGGTCAAAATCATAGCTCTACCATTCTAGAGCTTTTCACTAAACTAAAATAACTTACAAGGCTACCAATCGCCTCCAAGTCTAATGATTGCAGCTCCACAGGAAGCTCCTTCACAATCCGAATATCAGATTTCAAATAATTGATAAAATAATCCTCCTGATATATATCGCCAAACTGGCTAAGGAATAGAATTCAATTTGTCAAATTATTCAATCATGGGTACAAGCTACCAGAGCATAAGAAATGAGATAAAGTTGTTAGGCAGATAAATAATGAAATGTACCTTTTGTCCAGCCAAACATTACTGTACAAGAATTTGGGAATGACAAGAGTTGCATTGAGCAATCGAGATATTGTAACAGCATTACAGATCTGTTGTTAGATAAAATGGAAATGAGACTAATTAAATAAGAATACATAATAGTTCACAGAAAATCCAAAAACTGGATTGTAGTTTCGTTCAAGAAGACTGTTCAAATCAACCAATCAAGCCAACAAAATTGAGAGGTATTTAAAATTACACAAAAAAAATTCTGCTAATTTTAGCACTACAATGAAAATCAATTACTCTAAGCTTGCATTTACTATCAAATATTTACTCATTAAAAAATCTTGAATTGATTTATGCCATTTTTTCCAATAAAGTTATTGAATTTCTTGGCAAGTTGCTTTGGCGCTATATGCCAATTCTTTTATAAATTCTGTACAAGCTCAGTTCTGAATATTACTGTACAGTTTCTGAACAAGTCATACTTCATGATTTTTGTGGAAGAGAATTGCACTGAACGTGTGATTGCTTAAAATAAATGATGACACAGGTAATAAATAACCTTCTTTTGTTAAAATTTAAACATATGATATAATTATTCTTTCCATCAAGGGACTACTTACCGCCACCCTTTGCTGGTTTATTCCACCATTTGCACTAATCATGATGTATCCATTGGTCCCCTCTTCAATTTACAAAAAGGAGGCAAGTCAGAATAACAAAGAAGTGAATCAAAAAGTGTAGAAACAAAATATCAACATTAGCATGAGAGTAAACTATAACAATAGAACCAAGCAACATAAACTGTATTACCTGATGGCTCCCAAGTCCTTTTGTCAGAACAAGGTCGCCACATAGTAGCATTTATTGGCTCTTTCCACAAATCCTGGGGTTCTGGCCTCGTCTCTGCCTAGGCGATTAGCATCATCCATTACAATCATCATAATTCAGTGAATATGTGAACCAAGTTTGAAATGCAGCAAAAATTTAGCTGCACATTTATGATGTTACCTCTGCCAATGCATGGGCAGCTAAAGCAAGTAGCCGAGTGAGCATGACCTGATGAGGTCTCTTCCCCTTTCCAGCACCACTGACTTCTTCCTTCAGATATTTGAACAGCGAAAATCATGTCACCGTTCCAAAACAGCAAAAATCATGCCACTTCAATTCACACTATATCTATCAACTTATATCAACTTATATGTTCATGCTCTTCACAAAAAGGCGAACAATCAAGCAATATTAACTTTGAATTACTATGTTTATGTAGCTTGATACACATATATGGCACTAGCACTATATCTATTTTTCACGATTTTTTGGTACCTCATACACCTGAAATAGCTCCACAAGGCAAGCTACATTGCGAAATTTCACACCCGCACACGACCTTAGTTAATCTGAGCAGCTGAAATTGCTAAGCTACCGAGCCGTCACGCTTCCACTCCCACTAGACTACCACTACCGCTAAAAGGGAAGCGACGCCCTTACCAGAGTGGACAGCGACGCGTTGGCGGCGGGCGAGTGGCGGCGGCGGAGGCGGAAGTGCGAGCGCGCGGCGGGGTCCTGGAGGCGGGAGAACATCCACCAGTTCATGACGAAGAAGAAGGCCACCAGCGCGCCCCACCCCAGCAGCCCCCGCGGGCGCCGCAGCCCCCTCCGCCGCCGCCTCCCCCGCAGCACGGAGGTGGCCGCCGCCGCTCCCACCCCCGCCGCCGCATGCGACGACGGGAGCAGCGGCAGCGCCGCCGCCGCCGACGACGAGGAGGAGTCGGGCATATCCCTCCAGGCGCCGGATTTGGATCTCGAGTGGGTGGGTGGGTGGATTCGCGGAGAGGCGACGATGCGGCGGGGTGTGGTTTGATCGGCGTGCGGCGCTTGATTTGAGATGCGGGGTTGTGATTAAGGCAGGTTTATTAGTAGTACACAGTCTTTGGTTGGAGTGAGTTTCTGGGAGGGATTGAGAGTTTAAAGGGATGAGATTATTAATTGTTTTGTTTGGTTGGGGGATATGAGAATTTTGGTGGGATGAGGATGGGGAATTAAGAAATGAACTCCCACCTTTTCAATACCTGGGTAGGGGCAGATAATTGGGAGGGAATTCCTCTTTTACTTCGTCTAAACAAATCTCAGCCATCCGTTTTCATTAATGATCTAATCTCTAACTAAAACTCCCTATCAATTTCCACCACCTCTACCAAACAAGAGACTAGGATGAAAAATCAAATTTCCATCTTAATCTCATCATCAATTTTCTCGTGTAAACTTCCAATTCCCTTCGCTTAAGTTGCCAAACAAGCCGTATAGTTTAGTGATGGAGATTTGGAATGTTGTGAATTTTTTGTCTGCTTTTCTTCTCAGCCTGCAGATCGGAGGGGGCGGGGTTCGTGCGTGGCAGCGAAGGAAGGAAGCTGCGGCCGGTCACGTGCGTCCAGCCAGCGTGCGCATCAGTGCTGTTCTTTTTAGCTGAAAATTGTTTTTTTACTCTCAGCTACTCCGTCCGTACTCGTAAAGTTTAGGACATTGTTTAAATCAAATCTTATAAATATAAATCATGAATAAACTCCCGAGTTGTTAAGTTTGAAAATATAAAAATTATATGAATAGATTTATCTTGAAAAATACTTTTATAAAAGTATACACATATCACTTTTCAATAAATATTTTTATAGAAACAAGAAATCAAAATTGTATTTTGAAGACCGTGTCGTTGTCCTAAACGACTTTCTTTATCAGTATGGAGGGAGTATTTATTATACTAGAGTAGACAAAAACCCAATGCAAGCACCGATAGCTCTTCTCTCTGTACACGATCCTCTTCAGTACCGCACCTGCACTAGCAGCGGCTTATTGGTGGACCTCATCCCACATGTCAGCAGCAGCTACTACAGGTACAGTACTACAGACAATCCCTACTGCTCTTCTCTACCACTATTTCACTCATAGTTCTCTTTACAGAATTAGTCGATCAATGTTGATGAAATCGGTTGATTCACACTACGTATTCTGTTCATACAATTTCTTGATTCCACATATGGTTACCAATAGGATGGATGAACCCATCTACGACCGCGCCACCCCACATCCATTCAAGATTTGAGATATTGATCATCGTCTCGCAATCTATTAATCTTCCTACTTCTCATCTTTGTGACTATGCTACCTGCCTCATCTAGTATAGTGCAATGTTGTGGTGAGATGGTAAACTACGGACTGTGTATGTCATGCAGGACGCGGCCATGGATGTGCCTCTCTCCTCAACCTGAGCTAAAGTTGCCAAGCTAAGGGAGAGTGGGGTGGGCCAACACCCTCCCATCCGATTTGGCCAAGAACCTCCTCCCCCCACCCTTCTCTCTCCATGGTGTATACAACCATCAAGCCTATTGGGAAATAGAACATGCCCAACTGTCCAATGTCCACACACGAGAGATATCAGATAGAGGCAACGTAGCTGACACCTCGCCTTCTTCGTTGAGCATTGTCTGATAGATCGTCCCATCGCTTCAACTTCGCATCACATAGTAGCTAGCAGTAACCATCGGCGACAACACACGCTACACGTGGGAAGCATCTACGTGACTCCGCCCTTCGATCGGCGATAGTGTTTTTCTCACCATCAAGCACGTTAGATCGGACACATCATCGGCTAGAGTCTAGAGGTGACTTCTCTCTCCATTCTCCCTCAATACAACAAAATATCATAAATGCTTGACCTTTAGTTTTATCATTTATTTTACAAATCTGACAATCAGTAATCCCTAATCTAAACAAATAGACAATGTAGGCATTGATTGTTATGGGATTTGTCCATTTGCCTTGTAGCTCCCCATCCCCCTCCTCCAAAAAAAAACCTAGATCCCAGCTTCGCCCTTGTGTGCCGGTACATCTTCTTATATATTAATCTTTTTTAACATAGTTTATTAGTTAACTACCACTCTTATTTTATAAAGTTATATATTTTTATATTGATAGATTTACTGTTATGTTTTGATATATAGTGAAAAAACCGCTGCTCTGTTCTCAGATAAGAGGTACTATCTGAGAAGTTCTTGTGTGCCATGATATTCAAACAAGCCTAGGCTCTCAAATGCACAAGTCTTTTAAGTCTTTAACTAAACCGAGGCAACAATCTTCATCTTGGATACATGTATTCGAGTTCATATTCAAGGAAGTTGACTACGCTAGGCGTATCATATGTGAGATCTCCATACCACTAAGACAACGCCCGACGAAGACTAGATTGGATCATCCCAAAAATTAATTGTACTTGCGTGATACTGATATATAAAGGTAACATCGGCTTCGGTCAACAAGAGTAGAGCTATTACCTGTCAGTTAAGAGCCTAAACCTGTATGAAAATTCGTCTCTCTTGTTTTTTTACCTCAATCTCGCATATACCATGGCACCAACGATCCTCATAAATAAGGAGTGGATTCTAAACTCTCGAGGGAATATAACACCATTTGTTAACATAAGTTTTTTGTCTTTGACAACGCACTCTCTTCTTCTAATCATAGGTAGATAAACATGTTATATTATCTTTATTGAACATCTTCATGCAATATGTATTTTAGAACTGCTTCCGCTAGACCGTCATGTTGTGCTGAGCAGAGCACACCTGAACTACATGCCAGGATTCTCTACTATAATATTATTAACAGTCGCTAGTATATTGGTCCCACTCTTCTATTAGACTATTACCTTGTATGTTAGTGTTATAGTGATAGAGGATGTGAACCTCCTGAACTACACACATTCTTGATCATTCTGAAAACATGAACAGTACACCTAAGTGAAGCTCACCATGAAAAGCGTGTAATTTACACACACACAAACACAGTAACAAAGGCCCCAACTTCCAAGTTCCAACAAATGCTAAATAAAATCTGATCTCTACGTGATGAGATGAATGCTAGTAGTACTTGCACAAGTGTGTGAAGACGACGAAGCTGACGCAGCTGAGGAGCGCCAAGAACCAGTAGTACTTGTCCAGCCGCGCCTCCCGGGGATCATCGGAGAACCACCCGTGATCGTGCCCGCCGCCGCCGCCCCCCGCCGTCACCATCTCGAGCGCGGTGATGAGGAACGCGCCGACGAAGCTGCCGACGCCGAAGACGCTGAGGTAGAGCGCGATGCCGACGGTCCTCATGGCGCTGGGGACCTGGGTGTAGAAGAACTCCTGCATGCCCACCACCGTGAACACGTCGGAGACGCCGAGGAGCACGTACTGCGGGAGGAGCCAGAATATGCTCAGGCGGCCGCCGGACGAGGACGACGCGGCGGCGCGGAGGCGGCGCGCCTCGACGAGCGCGGCGACCGCCATGGCGACGATGGAGAGCACCATCCCGACGCCGATCCGCTGGAGCACCGTGATCCCCTTGCCGTGGCCGGCGACGAGGCCGGCGAGCGGCACCACCACCGTGTCGTAGAGCGGCATGAGGAGGATGATGGAGACGGTGATGGAGCTCTGCAGCATCGCCGGGGGGATCACGAACACGGCGCCGACGCGGTGGTCCATCAGCATCCCCTGCTTGGTGAAGAACGTCATCGGCTGCTGGAAGATGACCGCGAACATGAGCAGCATCGTCCAGATTGGGAGCAGCCTCACTATGATCTTGGCTACACTTGGTGCTGCAGCCTCTCCCATGGCCGCCTCCTGCTTCTGATCAGCCAGCTTCAGTGGCTTCTCCTGCAACCTGCATTTCAAAAATTCACCTCTCATCCACAATTCTACAACCAAATTCCTAGTACTTGTTCCGAATAATATCAGAATTCAGGTGATTTCTGCAACCTGCATTTCAAAATTTCACATCTCTCATCCATAATTCTACAACCAAATTCCAAGTAAATGTTCCAAATAAGAGCAATTTTACAGTCCTTCAGGGACCATAACGTACCATTTTTTTCTTTTGCAAATTTGATACCTCTTATTATCTAGATACTATGAGGTACCAAATCCATGATATCTCCTCAAGGACTGTAAAATTGCTCTCTAAGCAAAATCAGAATTCAGGTGATTTTAAAGTTTATCGAAACAGAACAAAAATCTTACTCTAGCTCAGATACGATGTCAGTGTCATCGTCGCCGTCTCTGGATGGCAGGGTGATCTTTCTGGCGCCAGTGACACTTGCGAGAAGCGATTTCAGGGCTTTGAGGACGCTGTCACGACAGGGCTTGCGATGAACAGCTCTGGGTTGCCTCTGCTTGTAGAGGGGGGTGCAGCAGAAGAAGGCGGCGACGGAGACGGCCATGACGGCGGCCGGGACGGCGAAGCCGAGGCCCCAGCCGACGGTGTCCTGGACGTACGACATTGTCGTGTTCCCCAGCAGGCTGCCGCTGCAGATGCCGAAGTACCACCACTGGAAGAAGAGGCTCTTCACCTTGCTCCTCTGCTCTTCTGTTGCTGCTGTTGCGCCATTGTCGCCGTCATCGTCGTCGTCGCCGATGTCGAGCTGGTCGGCGCCGAAGGCTTGCAGCGAAGGGTTGTAGCCGCCTTGGCCGATGGAGATGAGGTAGAGCGGGAAGAAGAGCGTGGAGCATGGCATCCGTGTGTGTAGCAGTGCCCATAAAGTTAGGCCTATTAGCCCCTGGTGATTGAACAGTAATACAGTATCAGTAAGATGAGTTACTACAGTAAAAGTAAACTAAGTTGGTTTCTTTCTTCAAGTGTTATATCAGGATATGTTTTGTAATTGAATGGCTGATTCTTTTTACTGAGTATGTGTCATGGTGCTGGTTGTTACACGTTACTACTTCTTACTACTGAATTGTTCTTTAATTGTGATGTCTCTGTCCTGGATCATCAGAAGCTGCAGCAACTGTCTGCATTTGCAAAATAGCTCCTGTCCTGAAGCAATTTTGTTCCATGCTACTAGTAAGCAGTAACTAAAAATGAATCAATTATTGTACCCCACATTGGTGCAACCTCCTCCATCTCGTCCTAATTGGCTCTTGCTCCAATAATTTGTACAAAATAAGGTTTCCTGACTACAACTACAAGGTGCAGAAATGGACAGATTGATTCATATTTCCTAATCCAACCAAAGTCTCAGACTATTGTAAAACAACTCCGAAATAGGCTAAAATCAAACAACATAAGAAGTTAAGTTAAGAACACAGGGCCAATCAGCAAACTAAACCAGGGTTAAACTTTTCGGTTTAGCCGATTTGTTCGGGCATCACCGAAACACCGGAATATCCAAAATTTCGGTCTGAAACAAAATTTAGTTGAATTTGAACAAATATTAAGAAAATTCATGAAAAATTTTAAAAAAATTGAAAAATTTCGACCGAAATAATATTGTATCGGAGGGGTCCGAAATGACCGAAATTTCGGAATTTTCAGAAATTCCAGTCCAAAATTTCCAACCCTGAACTGAACAGGGAATGAGAAGAAAAAGAAGAAGAGATTGAAACCGATTGGCTGTGCGCCTGTTCGTAGAGTCTGGATACGTAAACCATTTCCATTATGAAAATCAAAACAAGAGAAAGATTATCAGAATAGCTTACGACGACGTAGAGGAGGGAGGAGGCGGTGATGGTGGAGTAGCGGTCCCAGTAGGAGTCGGCGAGGACGGCGGTGAGGAGCGGCAGCATGGACGTCACCCCGCTCCACGCGCTGACGCTCTTCGCCGCCGCCGACGTGCTCATCTCCACCACCTCCGTCAGGTACGTCACCAGGTTCGACGCCACCCCCTTGTACGCGAACCTCTCCACGCTCGCCACCACTGCACACCATGCACGAGCTCAACCTCACCATGGATCACCATGAAACATCGAGCTCGCTTGCATTACTATTACCTATGATCATCACGCATGCCCTGCTCAGCCTCGCCGTCGGCGGCGCCGCCGTCGGCTTCTTCCCCGACATGACGGATCAGAGAATCACAATTTGTGGCGGCTCGACTTTGGCTTTATTTTCTTCCTCCTCTTTACCTACTTATAGACTATAGAGGTCGTCGTCGTCGTCGTCTTCTCCACCGATGGCGATGAACCGAGATGGCTTCAGGTAGCTTTGAGCATGCATCATTACACAGCGCGCACTGGGGGGAGATGCAAGCCAATACAAAAGCCATCAGCTCTCTCTCGAGATTCAGAGTTTCGATCTACAGCCACTGACCAGGAAGTGGAATCCACCACAAACAACACCCAGTGACTAAGCTCTCTCTCCATCCTGACCTTTTTATGGAATAAAAATGCCTTCTCTTTTTCTTCTCAGGGAGAGATGGATGGGCATTTGTGGATGTTGTCATATGGTGGCATCTCCACAAGAGAGACGTACAAAAAAGGGTGAGGAAAGGCCTTGGTAGCTTGCTAGTGCAGAACACCCCCCAATAACTTTTAAGGTGAATGCAACTGATCGTATAAATTGAACACACGAAAATGTCTGAACTTTGATGTTGTATTCAGGTTATTGTCGAAACAGTGAATTGATCGATGTCCCGGAGCTTGAATTGACCGATGTCCCGGAGCTTTTGCTTACACCTTAAAATTAGATCTAGGGTTGATATGCACTTGATAGTTGATAGTGTAGTGATAAGGTATGTGTGGTTTCAATCACGATATCTTATGTTCAATTTTAAACGGGCACATATTTTTTTCTTAATTATTTGATAACTTAGGTTTCTTCTTAATTGTCCTCATTTTTATTTGATTCGAGTTTTACAATTCCATTTTGCACATTTCTACCCAATGGGAGGAATAGGGGATTTTGGGACAAAAAAATTAAACAAATTTTGACAAAACTTTTTTAAAGATAAAATTTTCAGGTGAAATAGTTCTGTGCTAAGGGATCTGAAACTCCCAAATATTCGTAAATTTCCAATAGAAATTCAACCCCTGGTTATGGTTTGATCTGAACCTTGTTTTTTCTTCAGCTTTCCCGGTGTATTTTCCTCAAATGTACCAAGAGATAGTGTTCATTCAGTGAAATGGATCGCTAGGAGTAAGTTTCTCACTTCAATTGACAGTTGGTACCTCAATGGACTGCTTACTTGTGTAGTGCTCTGAGTGTGACTGCTGTAAAAGAGGCAAAGCAACGGAAACTAAAGGCAAAGTGAGCACTACGTGTCTAGACAACTGAAGCTAAAATGGATGCATCGCTTCCTGTTTAATCAGGCAACATAAGGTTACCAGGGATCTGAAATTATACACATAATGTAATGTAGCAACAAACTGGCCAAATTCCAACATATTACATGAAGTAGCTGACTATCTGAATCGCATGGAAAAGGAATAATTGCAACATGGATTCACTTTTGTAGAGATCTAGACTTCAAGATTAGGAGAAACATAAGATAAATATAGGTAATTTGCAATACCGTCCTATTGTGGAACATGTTTTCGATCAGAGTTTGTCTTTTTTTTTTTTTTGCTAAAGGAGCACTACGCATGAATAGCTTTTCCATTTATTTAAAAAAGAAACGGAGATGGTGATATGTAAATTGATACAACATGTGTGTTCTCAGAAATATAGATACATTCGTACTACCAATTATTATTATTATTGACAAACATAAAATGATTAAATTTTAAAACTTAATTTTGGAATTGACTTTAGGTATTTTCACAGTATCTTTTCAGCAATGCTTTTAAGTCTCTAAGGACATACATACATACATACATACATACATACATACATACATACATACATACATACATACATACATACATACATACATACATACATACATACATACATACATACATACATACATACATACATACATACATACATATATATATATATATATATATATATATATATATATATATATATATATATATATATATATATATATATATCTTACCGAAAATTATCTTTTTCTCTAATAAACCGTTACGACAGCTCTTGGTCAATCAGTGGGGTTGTTGGCAGTTTTGCAATTCTTATTTGAAATTAAGTGGAAGGCTGAAATTTTTCCATTGTTATATATTCGCACTTTCATATTGCTTGTGCATTTTCAGAGGGGTTCACTTTTCCAATTTTACGAGGGCAGACCATATGCTTCCTCAACCTTAACGAAAACGACAGAAATTTATCAAAACTTAGTTACTCGATGAATAGGCATCCCCATCTATTCCCGACCTAAGTCCACATACGGTCAAAAAGTAATGGTATTTTTTGGGGCAAAAAAACTCCACGTAACACATGAACTCGTACCTAATTATTGTTCCATTATCCTGGATCAATTTGCCAATGTATTCCAAGTGGTCAATTAATTAATTACTTTAGATGGGCAAAGGAGTCACATGAGGATAAGAGCAGGGAGGACAGAAAATCTCATTGATTTCTAGCTTTCTACTGTTGACGATGATCGATGAGATCCCTTAGCTATTGTTGCTTGCCGATGTGGAGGTCACTTCACTGATTGATCATCCTGCTTTTCATCAGTGTGTTGTTTCCTTTTCATTCCCTGGAGTACTCTGCATGAGTGTGTATGTGGTTGGTGGCAAATTTCAGCCACAGATGGCACATTGTTTCGGCAGAAGCGTTTTTTTGTACCGTGCTATAATAATTGAAACAACTTGACATACTTTTAGAAGAACTTTTATTCTACATTTTTACTAGTTTGGGATACACAAAAGTGGAGAAGAAGAAGAAGTTTCTGCTTTGAGCCAAAACAGAGTTTTTTAACGATAATTCATGTTCTGTTAAAGAAATTCGACCGCCAGTATACCATTAATCTTTACAATTTTTTTTTATTAAAAAACCCCATGAACACTCCAACAAGCGTGTAGAGAAAATGGTTGCTCATTTCCCGTACGAGATGTTACAATGATCTCTAAGGTACTGGTAGTATAAATCAATTCAAACCTTTCATATTTTTGAATTTAATGAATTATATTTATTTATACTACCACCTTCACCTTCACTACTAGTAGTAGAACTTTTTTTTTACTAGACCAATGGTTTAAATCACCTCTACTGATGATACTGATAGTAAAATACTATTACTAAAGACCATTGGAAAGATACTCCTATAAACACAACTCTATTTGGATGAAATAATATCAATCAATCTAGAGATATAATCTTAGACCCCTTAGAACTAAATAATTTAAATATTTTTTCTCTAACTAATTGCCAGTATCTAGACCTACAATGCTGCATTTGATCATTCTAAGTTAGAGGTTAGTTTTCCGGCGTGCAAAATAAGACGAGTCATTAACATACGATTAATTGAGTATTAATTATTATAAATTTTAAAATAGATTTATTTTTTTAAGGATCTTCTGAAAACAACGGGGCCTAAGAACATAGTGGCTTGTTTTCAGCCTGTATTAATAATATAATATATTACTGGTATAGTTGCCCAATGCCATGTCTAACACTAGTACTCCCTCCATTCTGAAATAAGATATTCTCCCCCTTCTATTTATCTCAAAATAAGTTTATTTTTTTAGCCATCAGTACATTGGAGTTTGTAAAAATAGTGGACAGTTGCATTGGAAGTAGATAAAATAGGAATGCATTGGGTTTGATAAAATGAGGGTATTCCTTTTGTTTTTTATTGATATGTTTGGGATGAGTATAAGAAATTAACTTATTTTTTCCGAAGATATTACTTACTAGTGCACTACTATTTTTAATAAATAGATGTAACATTGAAGGTATTCAAGATTTAATTGGAATAGAACGATTTTACAGGATTTTCAAGACAATTAATTCACTTGTTTTAAAGTTTATAAGATTCCTTCGTTCCAAGATACTTTGTCTTAGAGCAAAATTCCCTCCTAAAGAAGAGCTATAAGCATGTTTTTGGGCCTGTGTTGGGTCCCTGCCCATCTGGGCTAGGCTTACTGCAGGGATGCCCAAAGCTCCTCACGCACCGGTACCGTCCAGCTTCCTGCAAGGCACTCGTCCAGTGAGGCAGTGATCCAAGAACTCTGACTCTTGCACTGACAGCGCTGTTGGTCAAGTGTTCAACCGCATACCTTAGGCCTCCCACAATGCGAGTACATATCGGGCGCCTCTAATGAGCGACTGGTCGAGCGGAGCATGGACGCGCGACCAGTCCGCTCCTACTAGTCTACTACTGCTGGTGGTGGCGGCGGCGGCGCTACTACTGCTGCTGCTACTACTGCTAGCGCGCTGCTGCTGCTACTACTACAGCAGTAGTACTACTACAACAATACTACTACGTGTATATATACGTATGTATATACTTTATATATACATTTATAAACTTTGTATTGATATACAAAGTTTATACATATGTATATATAATTTTTATGTGTACAAAAAACGTATAAAAATATACATGTATACAAACTTTGTATATGTACATATTAAAAACCGAGAGAAAAAAACACGAATACAAACTATGTATACGTACAAATACAAACCTTGGTATACATACGAATATAAACTTTACATACGTACATCTTTAAAAAACCAGAAAAAAGAAGAGAAACCGAAAAAAAACTAAAAAACACCAAAACAGAAAGAGAACCGAAAAAAAAAGAAGAGAAACCAAAAAAACTGAAAAGAACCAGAAAGAGACAAAAAAATGGGGGGAGGGGGGAAAGTCCCTTCCGCGCGGGCGCCGTCCGCCACCCCCTCTCCACACGCAACACGTGTCCAGTTGCGCAGAGGAGGGCGCGCGCGACTGGTCGCCGATTAGCTTTTTCGAGTACGTATCGCGTGCTTTTTAGCGTGTTAGCTCGGAGATTCACCAACACGCCGACTTCCCACGCACCCCGCTGAGGCCTCGGCCCTTCACAGGGACGCGTTCTTCGATTGCGCTCGAGGACGTGTGGCGCAGAACACACACGTGCGCCCGCGTTGCGGAGCTCATGGCTTCGACTCGTTATTGCCTTGCATTGCATGGACGACGCTATCCCAGATTCGCCCTCCCACACCGCCGGTTTATATGCATCCGTATTTACAGTCTCTCCTGCGTTTGGCTCCTTGTCTAAGTCTCGCTCCCGCCGCATCGTCCACTCCTAAGAAGTCCTAATTGAGTGTCACCTCACCATCATCGCCTACAAGTGAAAACTTAGACTGCAAGCTGATAATAAGAGCAATGGCGTATCTAGGATTTTAGATATGGGTGGTCCAACTTATATAAAAATTTTAAATATAATACATATAGAATTTGCCTGATATAATTTAGAAAAGTTCATCATGATATATTAGTCACAAAATTTGACTTAAAAAATCTTATTACTCGGCTGCAAATGTTTCAAGAAGATTGTTCTTCTGCCACAACCAAGGAATAAGAAGGTGATTGGGAAGCAATCTTCATC